ATCTTAATAGTATTTTGAAAAGATACGACTTCTCCATTGAATATTGGAATAATATACTGGGTGTTCTATTTAAAATAAAGGAGTAACTTGCTTTTAAAAGTGAGTAATATTCAATATTAATTTTTTCTCAACCTGTATATCTTTTCAGGTCAAATTTGAATTTGGTTGAACAGATAATGGTTATTTTAATTAAATATTAGGCTATACAGGGTGAATTACAATTTTAGGTAGCTGTTATGAAATTTAAAGTTTATTCTTCGTTTTCAGAAAATGTGAAATATGTCAAAAACTCTAAATTTTAGTCATATGCTTCTTCTAATGAAACTCATCTTATTTTTTCCTAAAATCCGAAAATCAGTTAATGTATAGGGTGTTCCATTACCCAGAAGTAGTATAACTCCAAATATGCCGCTTAACATGAAAAAATCAATTGAAAAGAGAATCATTTTATGCAGTGAACAGGGAAAGGAAGCATTTTGAGCATTATTTGATATCATCTAACAAATTTTTGTCACATAATTATACATTTATATATAATTTTAATTCTGTAATAATTAAAATATTGTTTTTTTATTACCGTTGAATATTTTACTCTACCTATATCCTATAATTTTTGTTAAATTAACGAAAGGTAATAAAGATCTACAGTCACTAAATCATAAAAATGAAAATATCTAGGAAACTCTTTGTCTAAGGGGTAGGCAATCTTAATAGTATTTTGAAAAGATACGACTTCTCCATTGAATATTGGAATAATATACTGAGTGTTCTATTTAAAATAAAGGAGTAACGTGCTTTTAAAAGTGAGTAATATTCAATATTAATTTTTTCTCAACCTGTATATCTTTTCAGGTCAAATTTGAATTTGGTTGAACAGATAATGGTTATTTTAATTAAATATTAGGCTATACAGGGTGAATTACAATTTTAGGTAGCTGTTTTGAAATTTAAAGTTTATTCTTCGTTTTCAGAAAATGTGAAATATGTCAAAAACTCTAAATTTTAGTCATATGCTTCTTCTAATGAAACTCATCTTTATTTTTTCCTAAAATCCGAAAATCAGTTAATGTATAGGGTGTTCCATTACCCAGAAGTAGTATAACTCCAAATATGCCGCTTAACATGAAAAAATCAATTGAAAAGAGAATCATTTTATGCAGTGAACAGGGAAAGGAAGCATTTTGAGCATTATTTGATATCATCTAACAAATTTTTGTCACATAATTATACATTTATATATAATTTTAATTCTGTAATAATTAAAATATTGTTTTTTTATTACCGTTGAATATTTTACTCTACCTATATCCTATAATTTTTGTTAAATTAACGAAAGGTAATAAAGATCTACAGTCACTAAATCATAAAAATGAAAATATCTAGGAAACTCTTTGTCTAAGGGGTAGGCAGGCAATCTTAATAGTATTTTGAAAAGATACGACTTCTCCATTGAATATTGGAATAATATACTGAGTGTTCTATTTAAAATAAAGGAGTAACGTGCTTTTAAAAGTGAGTAATATTCAATATTAATTTTTTCTCAACCTGTATATCTTTTCAGGTCAAATTTGAATTTGGTTGAACAGATAATGGTTATTTTAATTAAATATTAGGCTATACAGGGTGAATTACAATTTTAGGTAGCTGTTTTGAAATTTAAAGTTTATTCTTCGTTTTCAGAAAATGTGAAATATGTCAAAAACTCTAAATTTTAGTCATATGCTTCTTCTAATGAAACTCATCTTTATTTTTTTCCTAAAATCCGAAAATCAGTTAATGTATAGGGTGTTCCATTACAAAAAGCACAACATTGATGCGTAACTTTTTTGTGGGACACTTTGTAGAACTCTATCTGTACTAATATATAAAATTCTTAAGTGACTCACTGATTAATCACGATCCTGCTCAAACCACTCAATATAAGAAGCTCAATTTTGGTATACAGGTTGATTCTAGGGTGTAGAGGTCCGATAAGAAGGGATTTTTCAAAATTCCAGTACCGAGGGGGTGAAACCACCCCTCAAATATTACAATATTTTTTATTTAAAAAACGGCCAAGTTTCCGAAAAAACGCTTAAACACATATATTTTATTTTGTTTTTTACATATTTTAAGATTTTTTTAAAATGTATACAGGGTGTTTCGAAAAATCTGGTCATTGAGTAATCACGATTCTGCTTAAACTGATTGACGTTTAAAGCTGATTTTTGGCAAACGGATTGACTGTGTAGAGGGGTGTAGAGGTTCGATAAGGAGGGGTTTCTCGAATCTCAAATTCCAAGAGGGTGAAAACGCCCCTCAAATATTACAATATTTGTTATTTAAAAAACGGTTAGTCTTTCGGGTTTTTTTTTAACCCTTAGACAAGCTTATTTTTTTTGGTTTTTTACATATTTTGAAATTTTTTAAAAAATCGTACAGGGTGTTCCAAAAAGTTGGGTAATTTGTTAACCACGATTCTGCTTAAACTGCTTGACGTAAAAAGCTTATTTTTGGCAAACGGATAAATTCCAACGAGATGAAACTACCCCTCAAATATTACCAAGTTATCATAATAATATCGCCATATTGTTTTTTTTCATGCTGACATAAATGTGGGAAAATTTTATCCAGTTTGTATGTTAATGGAAATTCTTGCTTTGCTTTATCATCACCATTACAAATGATTAATTCGACGCGAACGAAGTCGCGGGTACACGCTAGTATATTTATAAAATGCTTTCAATTAACCTACATATATGCTCCTAAAATTTAAATTCAATATCAACTACCATTCTCCTTGAACCCTCCGCGTCGTATGAGAGGCGCCACCCTGTACTCAAAAAAATTGTACCACGATCTAAACTATTTATCGCTTATCAATATTTATGTAATAGCTACATATATCTCGGCGCAGAACACATATTAGCACAATATATCATTCTAAAAATAGTTTAAAAACAATTTTTATGAGATTGCATAAAATCGTTTTCTCTATGCCATGTAAATTACCCATTGAAGGTCGCAATGTATTACAAAATACAATAAGTTCTCTTAGTTTTGTTTTAAATTCTTTTGCCTAATAGAATAACACGATTAGAAACATAGATCGTTGATTATTACAGAAAAATATTAGAAATAGATGAACCGTACTGGTACAAAACGAAGAATAATACATCAAGATAATATACACCTCCATATAAGTTGCAAACAGAAAAATGCTAGGTAGTCTAGGTTATTTAAAAAATGTTTATTAACAAAAAAGTTTTAATTAAAAACTAAAAAAAAATCCACAATTATTTTCAAAAAATTCCAAATTATAAAAAAAAAATTCACGAAAAAAACTCATACTCGTGTTTCTGAGGTCGAAATATGCTACACCTAAAAATATTTGCACTTATTTGAAATCCACCCTGTATAGTCCCTCTATCTGACACTTGAATACAGACATACTGTATATTATTTCTAATAAAAAAAAAATAAAAACTACTTGTATTAATTACTAAGGTTGTTTATAACTGACCAAATATTGTTCTACATATCTTAATTATGTTTAATAAAAGATTTTATCTAATACTAGTTAAACATAAAAATACCATTTTATTATTTAGGTTTATTTAATTAGTCTTTAACTAGATAAAACGGATTAGTTATTTTTATATGCTTTAAATCCATGTCTCAACATAAATATAAATATAGATCACTAAACAGCATGAGGATATTTGTTTTTTTCAAATGGAATATCAATCAAAATCAATTATTTTTACTGTTAATTGAATTATTATTGTTTTTATTTATGCTATCTAATATTAGAGTAATAATAAATATCCTAAATAATTTAAAAAAGCAAAATTATCTAATGGTTTTCGAAATGCGAACACTTATTTTAATTTCATAGCTTCTAATTATGAAGTTGTAAAATACATAAAGATAGAGAAATATTTTATTTGATAATAAAATAATAATAAACAAAATATTTGGAAATTTTTCTCACAAGTGTAATGTGTGTAATTTTTACAGATATTAGCAAAAAATTTGATAAAACAGCAAGATAGTATTTTCAAAAAGTTTGTTAATTCAAAATAAGTACTAAACTAACAAATCCTTCTTAAAATAATTTGATATCATATAAAATTGATTATAATTTTTAATTTGGTTGCATAGATTTCCAGAAAAAAAATAGGTGCCTAAGAAAACGCCTAAAAATGTAATTTCCAAATAATAATAAAAAAAAAGTTTTGGCATTCGGCCCGCGTCATATTCATTGTAACTGAACTGTAATATTTTGATTTTAAAAATATGCCGACACAATTTTAAACGCATGTGTGCTATTTTTATCGCAAATCTATTTTACTTTTAAATCTGATTGATTACATACTGTAAAAATCGTCAGAAATCGTTCATAAAATTTTTTAGATTTATTTGATTTTTTTAATAGATACAAGGGTAATTCTATAAGTGTAATGTTACTTATACCGGTGCGTCTCAAAAGTGGCTCAGCCCTATAAGGTCTTGTGGCCGACGGAAATCACACACAACAAACTTCAATCTACCGTATGATCGAATAAAAACGGCGTCAGCGATGGCTATGAAATGAAGATCGCTGTCATTTTTTATGTAAAATTATATGGGGAATGTCAACGATGTTCATTCCTAAGCCAACTGGACGCCGTTTTTTTTTCGATCATACGGTATTTCGTAGTATTGTAACGGAATTTTAAAGAATTAGAATTATTTTCGAGAAAATTTAGTCCAAACATAAGGAATATTTTGTTGATGTTTGGCCATCAAAATCTTGATCAAAAAGTTCTCTAAAATCTGCTACAATACGGATATAGTATAATCCTTTAACTTTCTTCTTTTTAATTTCCTTCTTCATTTGTGGTAAAAATACCTAGACAGTTTTACATAAATATTAAATGCCGAACGCTTATTTTGTTACTCTTTCGGACTGTGAAAGGGACTCTCATGGACTAATAAGAAATTATCCCCACTGATTATCCTTTTCTTTCTCTTTGCAGTGGTTAGATGGCCGCACCGTGGCAGGCCCCGCCAGCTCAGGGCCTGTACGACCCCGCGTTCGAGCGCGAGGCATGCGGCGTGGGCTTCGTGGTCGCCATCGATGGCCGCAGGGACACCAAGATCGTGCGCGACGCGCAGCGCCTGGCCGTTTCTATGAACCATAGAGGCGCGTGCGCCTGCGACAACGACACCGGTGACGGAGCAGGGGTGCTCACCGCTATTCCTCACGACTTCTACGCAGCCAAACTCAAGTAAGTACCATAGTTGCCAAGTCTACGGAATTTTTCCTAGATCTAAGAGAAAATCAGGGATGTATAGGGTGTTTCAAAAAACATATGCCATCTCTCGTAGGGAGATTCCTCACGTAAAAATAATATTTTGTTTTTCATATCAACATAGGTCCGATTCTACTTTGTTTTGTAGCTACAGGGTGTTTGGTTTGGTTTGGTTTGGTTTGGTCTTAATAATCTTTCGATTTATTATAATTTTCTTCCAAGTACTTTTAGTGATTCGAATGAAATTTTGAGGGTAAAAGTTACTATAAGTGCTACATATTTTAATGCTAATAAAACGTCGATAAATTCATCAGGGACGTGCATATGGGTTATTACTGGAATATTTTTCAAAAAAAAAATCATGTGGGCCCCTGACTATTTTTTTTGATATCAAAATTGTGTAGGCCGTTTAATGCCAATTAAAAGTTATCTCTTGTTATAGTGTCGAATTCGGCCTCCTTGATGAGATAAACGTAATTTTATTAATCACAAATTTTTTGAAGAGAAATCAATGGGTACTTTTTTAAAACTTTCGCAAGTTAATGATATTATGTTTCGGTTTTTAATGATATTATGTCAGGGTGTTTCAGTTTTTTGAAACACCCTGTATAGGGAAATTTGAATTTGAATTATTATAAACCGATTAAAAGATTATATAAATTATAAATTATATAATAAATCGAAAAAAAAAACATGTGCCATGTCCCACGTGAAATGGCACCTATTTTTTGAAACATCCTGTATAACATTATGATTATTGTTAGTTCCCAGTAATAATTAGTACGCAGAAAGAAAAAAATCGTGGGTGTTTGGGAAGGCTCGAATTGGAAGGCTTTTGGGAAGGCCCACGATTTTTTTCTTTCTGCATCCTGTATAACTTTTACCACAAATTTCAAAATTTACTTTACCGTCAATTCATTGACGTTTTGATATAGGAATGGCATACATTGAATTTTTGAAGAATTTTGTTAAAACTATTTTTTATTTAAAGAATTTTGCTTTAATGCACCTTGAGCTCAAGAACGGCAAACATCGCGCAATGTTGAATGAAAAAATCTATAACAATCCTTCATTACCAAACATTATAGGTAATGTGGTATCTCGTTATACCGTAAAAAACAAGCGTCTTAATGACACTATCGAAATCATTTGCTTGAAGCCAATAAAGTCTCTTATCAGCAAGTAAAGCTTTTCTGTAAACATATTAGCGCTATACGCTTAATTAAGTAGTTTTCTATCGTTACCGATAAGAGTACCTAGGAGGTATTAAAAATTCAATTCTTATGAGTAATAATGTAATCAATGCATCGTTATAGCCTTTATAGATATGTATTGTAAGTGTTATTTAATATAACGGAGGTTTTTGTATTGTAAAGTCACGGTCTAGACAGAAAAAAATAACAGTCAGACATTTTAGACTGTGTAAAGCTCAGTTTTTAATTATTGCAAAATCAACATGCAGGCACACTTATACAGTGTGGTCCACTAAGTTTGCAACATATGGAATTTTTTTTATTAGAAGTCCTATCCAAATTGGAATACTGTCAAAATTTAGTGCATAGTAGTTTAGAATGACAGCAAGTCAAATAAACAACCTACAGGGTTGGCTAAATACGAAAACCGTTCTAAAATTTTTACTACCCGAAACAGCGCGTTACATCACACAAACCTCGTACCCGAGTGTTTTATAGTTTCAATGACTAAATTTTTATAGCATAAAACTAAAATACTTAAATATTATGACAAAGTCTAAATGCGATCAACTTCTGATTTCTGCCGTATGGAGCGCTGCGGTCGGAATTTTTTGAAATCAACTTAAATTCACCAAGCTTATAACTATTTTTCACATACTGAGCTTGAGTTAGTGACGTATCTGACATATGAAAAAATAATTTGGAAATCCTAAAAGAACCTACGATTCTAATCAAAAAGCACATTATAAATAATAATACTAATAATAAAGATGGTTAGAATATATTTATTAACTATTTTACTAATACTTTTAACATATTCAATCGATAATTATTCAAATTATCACTTCGAGTCCACACTTTTTTGTTTACATTTAATTCACGAAGTGTTTGTCATTTTATGACGTTTTACTTAGAAATAAACATTTCACAATACTACATTTCTATCTTTATATCAGGTTTACGCAAGAACAGTTAACCTAATAGGACTGCTCATTCAGCCAAAAGTGTCAGCCAGGTGCATGCGAAAACCGCCCGCTAGTCTTTGTCATGGTTATTAGTCCTTATCCGGCAACCAACAATACACACGTGCATTATTGGTTGCCGGATGCAAAACGTTCATTATTTAGTTTATTTATAGAAAATTAACTGTATAAATCGTATTAAATACTCGGATAATGCATTTTTAAGAACAGCAGTTCCCAGCATCACCTTTTTCAGGCATTCTTTTTAGAGTACTTCCATATTTTGCTTTAAAATAATTAATAAACAATATCGTAGGCACTTAGTAAGCACTTTGTCACAATCCACAACACAAAATGAACGTATTTAAACACTCTATAGCTCTAAAAACTTTAAAAACACCTTTTTCACATTTAAAATTGACAAAATAATTAACTCAAAATTTCTCAGCTGTTATTTTTATAAGTTTACCATAGGCAACTAATAATACGCACTATCATGACAAGGACTACAATGACGTCACAACTGTCAGCTGAAGCGCGGGAAGAGGCGAACGTACGTCTTATGAGGATGAGCAATCCTATTAGTTTATCGTTTTTGAGGTTTACGTAGATATTCCTAATTAAAAATGTTATTTTTCATCCGCTCGTAATATTTTATGTTGAAAAATTATTGATGCCTGTCCAGAGAGATAAGAGGTTATTTCGAATTCAAAATATTACAGAAAATACAATATGATCGAAAAAAAACAGCGTCAGCGATGGCTATGAAATAATAAAGATCTCTGTCATTTTATATCTAAAATTATATGGGGAATGTCATCGATCGTCATTTCCAAGCCATCTGGACGCAGTTTTTTTTTTCGGTCATACGGTACAATATATTTTTAATTTAAGGGACTCAAAACTGGTCCTTAATAAGTTTTGATTGCTTTGGTTTCAACCTTATTTTGTTATTCTCTGTTTTTGTTAAATTTAATACGAATTTTATTGCTTTGAATATCTTGATTTCAAAATTGAATGTCTCACATCAAATTTTATACACTATTTGGTCTTTTTTTGTATACACTAACAATACCGTCGGAGATTGTTCAGCCAGTGTGATACTAAAAATACAGTTTTATTGAACTTAAAAAATCTCACTAAATCCTTTAATAGCAGTTATAAAATAATAACTTACTATACTTCATTCATCATTTCCTTATCAAAACTTATAATTGTAGAATCTCATTTTTTTATCTTAATACTATTCAAAATATTTTATTAAACATCCTCTTCCTGTGTGTTTATTTATCTTTTTATTTACAAAGATTTTATAAGATTCCAAGAAAACCCTCTTTGATTCAATTTAAAACAGATTTAAAGCTCTTTTCGTACCTTTGATAAATACAAAAAAATACAAAGCAAATGTTAATTGTATGATCAATATTGATAATGTACTCAACGTTTTATTGCTAACACGAGGTTGTTTATTAAACATGTATATAATCAATCTTTAATAGAATTACACAATATGTTTTAAATATTTTGTTTAAAAACAAGTGTTTGGAGTATCGGTATTTTTTTGATAAAACATAAAAAAAACTCTATTTTTCAACTATTTAAAAGAAAACAACTCTAATACAAAAAGAATACAAAACAAAGTATCTAATCACCTCGACATATTGTTGTATAGAAAAAATTATCTGAATTTAACTGTTGTAAAGTTTTTTTACATGTATTTTCATTTTGTTTCAGGGACGAACAAAATGTTCAGCTACCCCCCTTCGGAAGGTACGCCACTGGAATCTTCTTTCTGGATAAATTGCACCATCAAGATTCAGAAAATAAATTCGGAGCCTTGGCAGAGGTTAGGATATTAAAGATTTAACGCTTTTACTTCTATTTTTTACCACTCCTTAACATACTTGCCCTTATTTCTGGGACACTCTGTATATCGTTATTTTTTATATTGCAATCGAGTAATGTGAGCAATCAATAAGCTCCATCAGAAAAAAAGTATTTAATAACAACTTTGACGTTAGTGGACAAACGAAAAACTAATAAAATTTGAAGAAAGTTTCTTAATATAAGTTTCCCAAACTAAAAGTAATTTTATCTTCGAAAAAAATACCATACAAAAGAGATTTTGTAAGAACCTTAATTCTTTTTTTATCACCGGGAATGTTCGTATACATGCCCGGCAATGGATCTCTAGGCATAGGAATTACATGCATTAGAATGAAACGCCTATATAAAGTCTATGCTTAAACAGAGATGGACAACAACTTCCCCGTTTCCACTTCCACTACGACTGTCTACTTAGACAAACTCCAATAATATAACAAATTTTGGAAATTCCGCGACCTCCCATCACTCATGATACCCATCCCCCTCCCCTTTATTTATCGCCATTATTTTATTTCCCTTCCCGCGCTTCCGCAATTCGCTATTCCGTCTCCCGTCAGTTCATCACAGAGTTGCCAGGTCTACCGGTTTCGTCTGTAAGCTACCGATCTACCGATTTAAAGAAAAATCTAACGATATGTTCAACTGCGTCCTTAATTTTTACAATAGAAGCACTTTTAAAAAGCTGACTTATTTGACTAAAAATTAAGCGACTGCCGTGTTGGAATCTGTATAATCTGACTTTATTATTGTTTCATTAAATTTTATTTAGTAATAACACACATACAGGTCATCGTTCTGTCTAGTTGCAGAGTTACAAAGATATTCCTAAAAATCCTTATTACTCCTTATTAGGCGCGGTATTGGCGACATACCCGAAGAAGTTGATATCTTTTGAAAAGATTTTGTTTCATTCATCTACTAAAGTTGAACCCATATTTTCCCCAAAAAAATGTAAACAAAAAACAAAATTTAAGTTAAAAAACAACCTAAATTCGGACAAATATTTTAGTGATTTTCCTGTCAAAAAAAATATATTAATATGAAAAAAGAGCTGAGAGTTGCCACAGCTTTCCCATTGAAATGAAATTAATTTTAGATATCACACTGGTCAAAATTTGTACAAAGGTAAAAAGTGACTGCTACACTAATTTGTGACTGCTATCCCTACTTATAGTTTTATATGTTTTTATTAATATATTAATATTATTTAATTCAATATTTTTTTTAATATCAAATAATATATCTAGCTATTTCTAATTCTTGTTATATTTATTATATTTGTATTTTATTTGAGTGATCTATTATTATGACACATAGGAATGCTAATTTTGTTCTCGTATGGAATTATAATCTAACAAACCCGGCAACCCTGTTCGGCTACTTCTTATAAAGTTTTTTTGGCCTAATTCCTTTGTCACCGCCGCCGACCGACGGTGTCGGGGCGACTGCTAGGAAGATCGTACGGTATTGCCATTTCATAGAATTGCACTTGCTATTTTAGAAATGATTTCAAAGTTTTACATGTTACTTTTCGTTTTAGAAAGAAGTTATGTGCCTAGAGAAAACATTCTTAAAATTGTTTCGTACTTTATTCAATATTTCATTAAGCAGGCAAGATAATGGGATTAGAAGATTTGGGATTTGGGATAAGCCAACATAATTTCGATTTAATAGAATGGCAACACTGTCCGTCCTGTTTCTATTTTTTTCGATGCTATTCTATTAGTAGGCGGTAGCCCCCACACAAGCGTCTTAAAGACCCGCCCGGCGCTCCCTCTCGCAGAGGCTCTCTCGTCGTATCACTTCTATGATCACTTCCCCTATAGGATGGTAGGGAAAAGACACTTTATCCGTTTCTGTTGCACTGCAGTGTATTTTGCAGCCTTACCATCTTTTTTTATCATTGAAAACCTCCTATTGCTAATGTTCCTTTGCCAGCAGTGTATAAGTTGTCAGTTTCACACAAAATTCTCAAATTAATTTCAACTTCTTCTAACTAAACCATCTGCACACCTTTTTTATGCACATCATAATACGACCACCAGCAAACTCTATAAGACGACGCATGGTGTCATAGATGACGTGCAACGAAAGTTGTTTTAATTTCCCCTATAGATATTTTCTTACCTATACACCCGTTTTTCCCTGGTGAATTTTTCGATGCTTTTTTAGCACTATTTTTCCCTCAAAATGTCATTCGAAGCGCTACAGGCTCTTCTAAGAAAATTACATATACAAAATTACTTTAAAATACAATAAATCTTAAAAAATGTCTATGCATATGTGGCGGATGCATCTCTCCAAAAAATCCTATATGGGAATTTCGCCACTGCAAGAAAATCTACATAAAAAAATAGTTATTTTTTGTAAACATTTCTGCATTAAACCCAAAGGGAAACTACTTGTCAGAAGTTAGGTTTACAGTTTTATACAAATTTGCCTAACAAACAAAAAAATGCTTAACGTTTCGGAAAGTTTATCTCTTTCCGTCGTCGGAAGCAAAAAAAAATACAAAGAATAAAGTAAAAAACAATTTAAAATATTTAAATTCGACTATTATTATTAACTCTTTAGATTTTAAAACAGATACGTCTACAAAAAAAGATTATTTAAGAAAGGGACATTTTCACAAATCTAAGATTTGTCAGCCTTCATGGGACACAGGGCACAGAATAAATTTTTAATCAAAGAAACGATAGCCTCTAAAAGAAAACTAAAAGAGCCTTTTTTAATACAATCTAATAAAAATAAATGTATTGCTCATGCATCTGTAGATGTTAGTAATGTATGGCAATCGCTTCTTTGATTTTAAAGAAAATAACATAAATAAACATAACATACGTAAAATTTAAAAATAATCATACAGACAGTTTGGGGGTTTTTGGTTTTCCCTTATTAAGTAATTGTTATCAGGTAGTAATTGTTAATTTTGAAGTTTAACTTGGATATAACGTCATTTTAACAGAACGTCAACGGTTTTTGTAGACGTATCTGTGTTAAAAAAAACTAAAGTGTTCTCGAATAGTTGAATTTAAATATTTTAAATTGTTTTTTTCTTTATTCTTTGTATTTTTTTTGCTTCCGACGACGAAAAGAGATAAACTTTCCGAAAGGTTAAGAATTTTTTTGGTTGTTAGGCAAATTTGTATAGCTGTAAACCTAACTTCTGACAAGTAGTTTCCGTTTGGGATTAACGCCCAGAAGTGTTTACAAAAAATAACTATTTTATTTTGTAGATTTTCTTGCAGTGGCGAAATACCCATAAAGGATTTTTTGGAGACAATAAATCTTATTTTTCCGTGAGTAATCTCTCCACGAGAAATGGCACATGATTTTTGATACACCCTGTATATTATTACTTTTTATTTCGCGTTTTTAAAAGATTTTTTTTTTAATTTAGGAACTGGAATTGTCCGTGCTGGCTTGGCGTTCCGTACCAACCAACAATTCCGCCATAGGAGCGGTTGCCAAGAGTTCTGAACCATTTATGAGACAGGTACTACCAAAGATCTCCCCAAAAATAGTTTATTTATTTTAATATTGTAACTAATAATTTATTTTCGTAGGTTTTTGTTGCACCCAAATCTACTTTGGAAAATGCAGCTGAAGAAGAATTAGACAGGCGATTCTTCGTATTGCGAAAGAGGGCTAGTCATGAAATTCCAGCCCCAGGAAAGAGGTTCTACATTTGTTCTTTGAGCAGGAGAACAGTAGTTTATAAAGGTATTCAGTCTAAATCATATACCGTGCTGGCAACTCTTACTTTTGGGTCTGTATTTACATGTGTGGAAGTGTATCACTTAGGTATCTTATTAAGTCGGAGTGAGAGAAATGCGACGGTGTGCTGTTGCGGCGTTGCCACATTTCTCCGGTACGAATTTCCCTATCAAGTAAAGTAAAATCATGATCGCAAACCGCTTATTTTTAAAAGCCTTTTTTTTCGAAAAGATAACTAGATAGAATCATTAGATATGTTTCTGAGCATCTGAAATGGAATTACACGTTAGGGGATCGCACATTTTTAACACATAATACGTGATAATTCAAGAACTGTAGATATCGAAACTTTTTTTTTATTTTGAAATTCGGATCTTTAACAAGATGTTTAAATAAGAAAAATTCGATAGGCTTGTTTTTTTTTTCATTCAAAAATTAAAACATTTAAAACCCCCGTCCATTTACTTTTAGTGCATGGCAATTTCCAACAATCGTGTAACTTTTTATTTGTAAAGATTTTCACATACTATCCGCGAAGAAAATATAGCAGAAAGATTAAGAAAGTTTTTGAAAAAAAACTACAATAAATTATTTCTAATGGATTTGAATTCAGAGTTCTAATAGCGCGACCACTGTCGAACACCAACTCAATTCCACTTATTTTTACCAAAAGTGCAAGTGTTATTAACTTGCACTTAAAAATTTACAAGCTATAGGGAAAATTACAACGACCCGTTAATAAATAAACAAATAAACTATCACGAGACGAAATTAAATCGTAAAGCTGATGAATGACCAAACCAAACGCATGATATACATCCTTCTCTAGAATTTTAAGTACTTATTGGGTCGACCGCGGCGAATCTGCTGTATTCCCTTCCACGTCTCTTAGCAGTGTACCCAGATTCTCAGTTTATTTCATACGTTTGGCAACGTTGTTACTGTTCTCTCTTTGTTCAGTACATTTATAAACGCATTGTACTCTTGTTGCATACGGAAATCTTGACCCAAAACTAACCTTTGCCAGCCCTTAGTAGATGTACCCTCGATGTATCAGTGTTGTCAACAGAAACTTTCGTTTTTAGGCCAGTTGACCTCAGATCAACTATGGATTTACTTCCCAGACCTTAGCGATCCACTCTACGACACTTACCTGGCCTTAGTACACACCAGATTTAGTACTAATACATTCCCGAGTTGGGAGAGGGCTCATCCATTAAGGTACTTCATAATTTTAAAATTTATATCTTAGTGATAGTGATGATTTCTTTTATCTGTTTTTTAGGATGATAGCCCATAATGGTGAAATCAACACTTTGCGTGGCAACGTCAATTGTATGAAAGGAAGAGAAGGTGTGATGAAAAACGAACTTTTCGGTGATAAACTGAAGAACTTTGTATCCAGTTGTAGAGCCTAATTTGTCAGACAGTGGTTCTGCCGATTGTGTGCTCGAGTTTCTGGTCCATGCCGGCCAAAGAAAATTACCAGAGGTAATATAAACATTGATTAATAACTCAATTTATCTTAGCTAATCATTACCATGACTTAGGCTGTTATGACTATGGTGCCAGAGGCGTGGCAGAATGACCCAACGATGTCTGAGGATAAAAGAAACTATTACCATTGGGCTGCCTGTACAATGGAGCCTTGGGATGGTCCTGCTTTGATCTCCTTCACGGATGGGAGATTCATTGGTGCCATTTTGGATAGGAACGGCCTAAGACCTTCCAGGTTCTATATTACCAAAGACAATATGATGGTTATGGCCAGTGAGGTAAGTTAATCATTGGGGTGGGTCAAAAAAATCGACTATTTTTTTTCATTTTATACTCAATATATTATCTGCCCATAAAAATATTAACATACTAAGTTAACAAAATTGTCAAAAAACCATTTTTTTAAATGAAAACACCCATTTGTTTACACAGGTTGGTGTATATGATGTCGATCCTGCCAATGTGATCTTCAAAAGTCGTCTAAAACCTGGCAGAATGTTACTGGTCGATACTGTTGAAAAATCCGTCATTCAAGATGTTGAATTGAAGCAACAGATAGCCCATTCAAGACCCCACTCACTCTGGCTTAAAGAACAGGTACGATATGATTTTTTTAGAAGTATTTTTTCTATATAAATTAGAAAAATTCTGAATTGGTTGTTGTACAATTGAATTAATGAAATTTTATTTTGTTTTTCTTTTATAAAAAAATCAACTGGATATCATAGATGGTGAGTGTAATAAAATGAGATTGATTGTGTGTTTTATTAGATTTTATTTGTATTAACATTTTTGGCTTTGGAATTTGCATAGTATAACAAAATGTATCGCAAAAAGTGTTAAGTAATTTCTTCAGTATTTTTTTACTACCGCAAAATTATTATAGCAGTGATGTGAACAGTGTTAACCTAAAATATTTTTTCTATGACCCGAAATTATACAAATACACCGTCATTTTTGACTTGGAATTAATTCAGTACGTCCAATGAATTCATCTATGGTCAAACTTTAAGTTTATATTAAGTATAAGATGGAAAACTTCGGAAAACTAAGCCTAAATACGATCCTAGGAAATCGGGAGAATTCATACAAGGATATAAACAAACGGTACATTGTGAGACAGGAAATTGTAGAGAGAAACAAGCCCTATAACATAGGATACAACATTTTAATGAACAGTGCTTTCCATAAAATCAATAAAATGAAAAATATACGAAATAAAATAAATGTACTGATTTCTTTCGAAAATCGACAACTATGAAAATATGAACCCTTCCTGGACACAAACGGTACATTGTGAGACAGGAAATTGTAGAGAGAAACAAGCCCTATAACATAGGATACAACATTTTAATGAACAGTGCTTTCCATAAAATCAATAAAATGAAAAATATACGAAATAAAATAAATGTACTGATTTCTTTCGAAAATCGACAACTATGAAAATATGAACCCTTCCTGGACACAAACGGTACATTGTGAGACAGGAAATTGTCGAGGGAAACAAGCCCTATAACATAGGATACAACATTTTAATGAACAGTGCTTTCCATAAAATCAATAAAATGTTACAACTTCGTAGATCTTGAAGATGTTGCTGGAAAGAGCGCATAACTGCAATCACCCGTTTTATCAATGCTGGCGAACGGTTATAAACACTTGACAATCCGCAAATTGTACAATCTCTAGGTTCTCAGAGTTAGTGGTAAAAAAACTCCAATTCTACTATATAGTTGTCGTTTGACAAGCTACAGGGGGGCTCAAAAGTGCCTAAGTAGCGTCGAGAAAAGGATGGTACGGTTGTAATGAATTTACTGAATTTATTCCAAGCTTATAGAATCATCCAGTTAGTAGTATTTGTATTATTTCCGGCCTTGAGGTATGTACGTCGTAGAAATGCGTAAAGTCTTTTATACACTCATGTGATATACAGGGTCGGCAAGGTTTAGCCTTGGGTACCGGTTTTCGTGCGTACAAAGAATACACTAGATACTCTCAGTACATTAAAATGTACTCTTTGCATAAAAAGATTAAGGAAGGAGTAAAATGTTATCCATGTATTCATGCATGGTAGACGGAAGTAGGGCGCTAGGGTAGGGATCCTTTATTGACAGTTCTATTTGACGATTCATTTGACACATTTGAATTTAATTCGAAATTTTGTGGATTTGTCAGTCTTTACTGAGCTTATTTTATGTTATTTATTATTTATTCTACAACTGGTAGTTGTTTAGAGGTAGTAAATCTAGAAGAAAATTATGGCAGAACTTAAATTAACAGTGACACTATTGCGATTTATTGAAAAAGACTGTAAAATAGTCGATTGTGTGTGACTATAATATAAGATACCATAGGTAAACCGATCATTTATGAAATTCACTTAAAATTAACTAATTAGATATTTTTTCTTGCATTTTTGCTTTTATTTACTACTTTTCAAAGTTAGATGTCAAAGAATTTAGATACGTCAATTTGACTTACTTGCTTCAGTAGCGTATCGGATGTTTGTGTTAATAAATAATTATTATAACTGATCTGTTTTTATTAAAATTATATGTTTTTATAACAATTTTACAAACATTTATTGGCAACATAAAATAAAACAAGAAATTATTGAGTCTATCCTGCATCATATTTTTACATGTTTTGAATAAAATTAGAACCGGAATTTAAAGTCGGCCATTTTAGGTCACCGTCGCGGTCGATCTAAGTTTTTTGTTACGCTCCTTAATTTTTTATTCAAAGAATGTACTGAACAAAAAAGAAGAGCAAGTATTTTCCCAAGCGCATGAAATAATGCGTCTGATTAAGTGGTTATGTAATAAACACCGCGCATTTTTCTCCCTCCGACTTACAAGATCGCCAAAGCGATTTACTCCTAGGCGTGTAATTAAAGACCCAAGACTGTGCCTCTTGCCGATATAGTATAGCACAAACATCACATTCATGTATAAAAGTTACCTAGTTACGCATTTGTTAAATAATACACTTTTAGGTGCTTGTCTTTATGCTTCTTGTCCTTTTCCTTACTAGATTTCTATGGAGGAACTAAGGAAGGCTCACTTGGACGCCGGACGTCAGGCCAAACCTAAGTACGAGCCTAGCGGTTTAACCGATAAACGACTACCTTTGTATGGTTATTCTACCGAAACCATTCATATTTTGTTACTGCCAATGATCAACAATAAGTAAGTATAAATCTTAAAACAATTCTAGATTGTATCAACTTGATCATAAAATAAAGACAATGGATGAACATTATCTTCCATAATTTTAATATTGTGATTTTTGCGAATGTTTTAGAAAAGAAGCTTTGGGTAGCATGGGTAACGACGCCCCCCTTGCTTGTCTCTCAAACTTCGCCCCCTTGGTTTACGAATATTTCAAGCAGCTCTTCGCCCAAGTTACCAACCCACCTATAGATCCATTCCGTGAGAAAGTTGTGATGTCCCTTCAATGTCCCATAGGACCAGAAGCCAATATTTTAGCGCCCAGCGCTCAACAAGTAATTCTAATTTATTATTTTACTACTACTTTCACAAATACCTACGCTAACATAATTATTCCTTATATTTGACTATGACTGAAATCGTATTCCATAGTCAATGTAGATAGTTTTAGTGTTAAGTTAAGAATAATAATTTAAAAAAATATGTGGTCATCTTTTGACAAGTGTATATTAGTTTATTAATTGCAGTAAACATTATGTGATGTGTGGTGTGAATATTTTATATGCAATTTTTTGGATTATATTCGACACTATTTTTTTTATATGACACAACACTGATGAAGGCTATATTGTTAGCCGAAACGTTTTTTTAAACCAAAAAAAATAATAAAAAACCAACTGAAAACTTAATCAACGGTTTTCCCGAAACGGTAAATCCCAAGAAAATCAAAAATTTTAGAATAATTTTACATTATAAAATGACAGCGATCTTTATTTCATAGCCATCGCTGACGCATTTTTTTCTAAGATATTGTATTATTTGCAAATATAATTTTTCCAACATTGATACTTGCAAAATATATTATGTACAAATAAATTTTGTGAATGCAAATAATAATACATCACTATTAGTATATATTGAATGTTTTTTGTTAAATTAGATCGATTTTCAAACCCCAAAATTTAAAATATATTTTACATTTTACCCATTATTCAACTATTTGTATATTGCAAAACATTTGCTGCATTTGTATGGTTCATAGTTTATTTGCCAAAGTATTTATTACTATAAATAGGTATATATATTATATTTATTAACTGTATATTTTGTATATTTCATGTAAACTACGAGGAATAATTATGTTTTCCATGTATTCTACAACATATTTATTAATCCGTATCTAATTGGCGTGACGTCATAAATCTCGCTTCGAGGCTGTTCTATTAGAGACGGCATTGGCCTGATAGTTAGAAATGTCAAAAGCTGATGACATTTTACTTTTGACAATTATGCCATTTCGTGTTGATTTTTGCAAGAAGAGGAAGAACTGTCACTTGTTTTATTATTTCTCTTTTCTATTTCACGAAAGTAAAAAGAGTTACCTATCTGATTCGTTCAGGCACTCAATTTAAAGAATATCAGTAACTTTTTTGATAGAGGGATTTTATATTTGCCATGTTGGTAAAAAATAACGGTCAAAATTCAAAGTTATTCATTTTATAGACTATATCTGCAGAATATGCTGCCGAAATTTCCGAAATACAATTCAGACCGCCCTGTATATAACCACTAATAAGAACCTTTTAAAAATAAAATGATATGTTTTATAATATTTTTAACTAATTTAGGTGCATCGACTTTGGCTGAAAAATCCAGTAGTGTCCATCGCAGATTTGGACATGTTCAAACAAGTTACTCACAGAAACTGGTCGTCGCACGTCATTGACATAACCTTCCCGGTAGAAAATGGAGCAGAAGGTTTGTAATATTGATTTTTATAATACAATTTTGAATATCTATAGGCCTGGGGTCATCTGAAATCAATGTATTAGATAGAGATAAGAAACTCTGGAATGTCTGTACGTAGATGGTACTGAATAGCATGGACTTTGTTACTACAAAATAAGTTGTCTATTTAACTGTATGGAACAATCAACAACTACTGATATAGTCAAAAATATATATATTATTATTACTTATCGTCAAAAATGATATGTATAATAGTTGGTTTGTGTGTTTTGACGCTAGCGATGAGAGCCGATAAATATTCGAATTTCCCAAATGTATTGCCAACCAAAAGAGCAAAATGCGAATTGTCAACTATATCAATTATTGTTGATCGCTCTGTATTACTATACGTGTACTGTCTAACTTACTACCATTATTTTTATAGGCTTCCCTAAGAAATTACAAGAAATCCTAGATGAAGCTGATCAAGCAGCTAGCAATAATCAAATAATAATTTTGTCAGATAGGTTGGCATCAAAGGAGCGAGTTCCTATAAGCAGTCTATTGGCCCTTGGTGAGTTCTTGAAAATATTTTATTTAGTTTTTATTGTGAACTTCATATACTATTAATGCTATTTTTTATATAATATTTTTTAAGGTGCCACTCATCATCATTTAATAGAAACAAGAAAGCGAATGAAAGTAGCTTTGATAGTAGAAAGCGCAGAAGCAAGAGAAGTGCATCACATCTGCGTACTACTCGGATATGGCGCTGATGCCATATGTCCCTACTTAGCTCTGGAGCTGGCTTCCAGTCTCAGAGACCAAGGAATCTTGGATACTAACCTAACAGATGAAGTGATTTACCAGAATTATGCTCAAGCTATGCAAACAGGTAGGTACCTACATAGTTTATTCTGTCAGAGAATATATGATTTTAATAGACTAATCTAGAAAAAAAAACAGAAAAAACAATATATTTTGTAACTAGAATATTCTTTTTTCAAGATCTGCCGTATCTCCTTCAGTTTAAAAAAAAAACTGTATATATTTTTACCAGTGCCGCAATTTTTATTATAACATATATTTTAGGTATAAGCAAAGTTATGGCCAAAATGGGCATTTCAACTCTTCAGTCATACAAAGGAGCCCAAATTTTCGAAGCTGTCGGATTAGCCGAAGATGTCATTGACAAATGTTTCAAAGGAACGCCTTCAAGAATCGGTAAGCAAATCTTATACCATACAATCGAAAAAAACGGCGTCAAAAAATGATTAAAGAAGATTTAGCAGGGAAATGACAATCGATGATAATCTTGGCGAGGTCGAGCCCTAGACGCTACTTACTTAGCCCGTACTCTGCTTTATTTTTTAATAAATGAAGTCTAGAGATTAACTTCGAAAGAATCCATCGTCGTCATTCCCCAGCCGTCTTTGACGCGGTTTTTTTTTCTATCACTCGGTATAAAACTCTATATTATAAACTTATATTTTAGGTGGTGTTACTTTGGAAACCCTCGCCATTGAGGCATTAGAAAGGCATAAAAATGCCTTCCAAGTCGGCTCTGACACTCTTATTTTAAGAGATGCCGGTAAATATCATTGGCGTGCCGGCGGGGAGAAGCATTTGAACGAACCTGCTAGTATAGCAGCGTTGCAGGTAAATTAAAAAAAATGGGGCATACAATAGAATTAATTCAAATAAAAAATATATTTTTTTCAGGAGTCCGCAGTTAATAATAACAAAGGAGCTTACGAAAAATTCAAAGAATCGACTATGCAATCGGTTAAAGATTGTATGTTGAGAGGTCGCTTTGAATTGAGAACCTTGGACCAGGCACTGCCTTTGGAAGAGATTGAACCAGCTTCAGAAATTGTTAAAAGGTCAGAAATTTATAATGTAGATACTTATAATATAGATATTTTAACGACTGTTGTAACTTGTGAGTCTATCTTATCTCTAAATTCACTAGGCTTTAAATTCATTGAAGATGTAGAATCTTTTTAATAATTGTCATAACACTCACACATAATACGGTACTGCATTTTCTCTGGTCGCAGGTACTCTTTTTGTCGTCTCTATTTGGGCATATTTTTTAGAAGCGTGTACCTACACCTCAACAATACATGCCGGAAAGCTTTGCGCTTGCGTAATACGTGCGAAAGGCATTAGCCATAACTCTGCTTTAATGCTTTTGCGGAGGAACTAAGTAATGCGGCCGTTTCGGGACCGAGGGGTCCCAGGTTCGATCCCCGCAAATATAGAACTTTTTTATATTTTTTTACAGCTGTCGGTAATATCAACCAAAATACGCCGTAGGCGTGTTTTGATTGCTTTGGTTAATCTCTGGGGTTATTTTTTTTGTTTTGCACCTGAAATACCCGACCCAAAACAAGGGTGTACGTAGACGCTTGTCTATTTTTTTACTGCTTACTCTAGATTGAAATTTAAATACTATTTTTTAAGAAAAACTGTCAAAAGTTGACGTTTGATATGTCATTCTATTCAGAATGTCATTTTTTATCAAATAAAGTAAAAAAAACCGAGGGTACCATAATATGTTACATGCTAATATACCAAATATCGTCATTTTACCTGAAAAAAAAATAAAAAAGTTATATGGGTGAGACGCTATTGAAAAACACCTGGTATAAAACGTATAATATATTTGTAGGTTTGCTACAGGAGCTATGAGTTTTGGTTCAATCAGCTTGGAAGCTCATCAAACTCTAGCCATTGCAATGAACAAAGTAGGAGCTAAAAGCAACACTGGAGAGGGAGGCGAAGATCCAGAAAGGTACGCTAATTACTGTTTTTCATTTATCATTACTTAATTTATTAACCTAATCTAGATATCTGGATAACGAAAAACGATCAGCCATCAAACAAGTAGCCTCGGGCCGGTTCGGCGTTACCTCATCGTACCTAGCCCACTCTGACGATCTACAAATCAAGATGGCACAGGGCGCCAAGCCAGGGGAAGGCGGTGAATTACCCGGCTACAAAGTGTCAACTGACATCGCCAAAACGCGTCATTCTGTGCCTGGTGTGGGTCTGATATCGCCTCCTCCTCATCACGACATCTATTCCATTGAAGATCTGGCCGAACTGATATACGACTTGAAGTGCGCCAATCCGCAGGCGCGGATATCTGTCAAGCTGGTGTCGGAGGTGGGAGTGGGGGTGGTAGCCAGTGGCGTAGCCAAAGGAAAGGTAAGAGTAGACTTATGTTATATTTATAGTTGGTTCATGCTTTGCATAATAATTTTTATATATGACGATCATATATTATAATTTATATATGATGATCATATATAATTTATATAAGATGATCATATATAATTTATTTATGATGATATGGAAATTATATATTATGTTATTTTTTTATATGGTGCTCGTTAATTTCTTGTGTTATTGTTAAGGGTAAGGTTAGGACTCGGAGTACGAACCAACCATTAATGTTATATTTAGTGTATTATTTAGAATAAAGATGACTGTCCCTCTGTATAGGCTGAACACATTGTAGTTTCTGGTCACGATGGCGGTACTGGTGCCAGTTCTTGGACTGGAATCAAAAATGCTGGATTACCGTGGGAATTGGGAATAGCAGAAACTCACCAAGTTCTAGTATTGAACAACCTAAGGTCTAGAATCGTGTTGCAAGCTGATGGCCAAATTAGAACAGGTAAATCCTCCAGGCGTGCTACTTACATGATCAAATCTAATACAAAAATATTCTCAGGTTTCGACGTCGTGGTAGCCGCTATCTTGGGCGCCGACGAAATAGGGTTCAGTACAGCACCACTGATCGTCATGGGTTGTACCATGATGCGAAAGTGTCACTTGAACACTTGTCCCGTTGGTATAGCCACTCAAGACCCGGTTTTGAGAAAAAAATTCACTGGACAGCCTGAGCATGTTGTTAACTACATGTTTATGCTGGCTGAAGAAATAAGAGAACATATGGCTAAATTAGGAGTATGAAAAAAACTTCATTGTTTGCTTCTAATATTAAAGAAAAATATTTTTTAGGTTAGGACCTATCAAGAGCTTGTAGGTAGGACTGACTTGCTCAAAGTTAGAGAGTCGGGATCTCCTAAAGCTAAGATGCTTAATTTGAACACTATTTTACAAAATGCCTTGCACATGAGGCCTGGAGTTAACATCAAAGGAGGTTACTAGAAATTATTTATATCAATTTTTCCTTCATTTATATTTAACTTTATTTTCTAGGATCTGAAACTCAAGATTTCCAGCTCGAAAACCGATTGGATAACCAACTAATTGAACTATCTAAGCCTGTAATTGACGGAACACAACAAACTGTCAATATAGACATGGCAATTAGAAACGAAGACCGAGCATTTGCATCTACTTTGAGCTACCACATTTCTCTGTAGGTGTTCAGATATATGAGTCTGGTCATTCTAAATCCTTGGTCTGTATTTTAACGCGTCAGATAAATATAGTGGACTTATAATCAATTGATAGGCGGGAGACATAAAGAAAAACAGATGACCATGGAGACCATGGATTTAGAGAACGATCAGGCCTGTGTAATTATAAAGAAACATCCATAACATGTTATATTCTTTTCAGAAAATACCATGAAGATGGTTTACCAGAAGGAAGATCCATTAACATTAACCTTACTGGTTCCGCAGGTCAAAGTTTCGGTGCCTTCTTAGTAAAAGGTGTTCATATCACTTTAGAAGGCGACGCCAATGACTATGTTGGTAAGACTGACTAACTACACATAACTAACACATTTAAATCTTCTTTAATCTTAGGCAAAGGTCTTTCTGGAGGATCTATAGTTATCTATCCACCCAAATCGTCACCTTTTGAATCCCATCTCAACGTAATTGTTGGAAACGTGTGCCTCTATGGAGCCACTTCAGGAAAAGCCTTCTTTAGGGGTATTGCGTCAGAGAGGTTCGCAGTAAGGAACTCCGGAGCTGTGGCTGTTGCAGAGGGCGTGGGTGATCATGGCTGTGAATATATGACAGGAGGGACAGTATTGATTTTAGGTATGTGATAAAGCGTAGTTTTTTTTTCTTTAAACTAAAAAAATATGATTTAGGTCTCACTGGACGTAATTTTGCTGCCGGTATGTCCGGTGGCATCGCCTACGTATGGGATATAGACGGTAAATTCTCTACAAAATGCAACATGGAGATGGTTGAATTATGTAAACTAGAAGATAAAGATGACGTAGTTTTGGTTAAAAAACTACTTGTAGAATTTAGAGATCTAACAGGAAGTCTTGTTGCCGACCAACTAATAAAGGTATTAAGTTTTTTTAACTTTAGAAGTATTATGTTAAATTTTTTTTTCTAGGAGTTTGAATCTAGACTGAAAGAATTTGTTAAAGTTTTCCCGTACGAGTACCAGCGTGCACTTAAACAAAAAGGTAAAAATTTATAGTTTTCTAAATTGTCAATTTAGTTGATTAAATAATTTGTAGCTGCAGCTGTTGAACAGGCAGCTACGCAACCGACACGGCAACCAGCTGAACCAAAGATTCTGGATATTGAAGATGCGGCAGGAGATGCGCACGAACAAAAGAAAGCTGAAAGAGCTTTGGATAAGGTCAGAGGATTTATGAAGTATCCTAGAGAAACAGGATTATACAGGTACCATAATACTATCTATAAAATTGGGGTTTTAGTCAGTGTGTACACATTTTACACCCAAATTTTCTGTATCGCGATTAGATGTAGCCCAAACTTTTTATACCTACTAAAAACTAGCTTATACATAAGACAGCCAATACTTACAACAAGAAAAAATACTAGCTATAACATAAGTTAACAACTAATATTAACTTTTATCACAAAGAATCCTAGATATTAAAAATTTTTATAAGTTTAAGCAAGTCGTATTCTAAACTTTTCGTATTCCAAATTCTGATATGGGATGACTGGGATCAACTACATCAAAATAGCGTCTATTGCAAATTTAGATACAATATAAAATTTTAATGTAGATTTTGCAACTATATCAAATTGAAGCCTTTGTAATTACGTTAACCACATCAAAATGACAACTACACAAAATTTTGATGTACCAGTCTTAACGTTCACAGGTCGTATTTCATAATTTTCGTATTCCAGATTTTGATGTAGTTGTAATTGGGTTTAACTACATCATAATATTGTCTATAACAAATTTTGATATAGTAATTATCAAATTTTAATATAGTCTTTGAGTTCAACTACGTCAAAAATGTTACATCAAACTTTGATTTTGTATATGACCACAACTATATCAAATTGAAGCCTTTGTAATTACGTTAACCACATCAAAATGACAACTACACAAAATTTTGATGTACCAGTCTTAACGTTCACAGGTCGTATTTCATAATTTTCGTATTCCAGATTTTGATGTAGTTGTAATTGGGTTCAACTATATCATAATATTGTCTGGAACAAATTTTGATATAGTAATTATCAAATTTTAATATAGTCTTTGAGTTCAACTACGTCAAAAATGTTACATCAAACTTTGATTTTGTATATGACGTACATCAAAATTTGATGTAGTTGTTACAACTGCATCGAATTTCAAAGTCTTTGCACTTCTGTTCATCTACATGAAAAAGTTTTATAAGTACATTAAAATTTGATGTAGTTGAAACTACATCAAAAATTTGATGTCACCACATCAAATTTTAATATAGTCTTTTAAACTACGTCAAAAAATTTACAACTACATCAACGATTTTACAACTACAACTACGATTTTGTATGAAGTACATCTAAATTTGATGTAGTCGAAACTACATAAAAATTTGATGTACTTGAAACTACATCAAAAAAATATGACGTCACTACATCAAATTTTGAAGTTTTTGCAATTACATTCAACTACATCAAAAATTGTCTCTAGTGTAGTTTGTGCACTTACGTTCAAATTCTGCATCTGCGTGTATTTCTTTTCGCGATCTTGTCAATTAGAACTTGTTCTTTTGATTTACTTCAGAGCTGTATTTGGCTGTCCGACAATAAAGAACAACTGTAAGTCGTGTCACATCGCGGTAAAGAAATTTTAGGTACAAAGAGATTACACCAACAACAAAATGGTCTAAGAAAAATAAGGATTCTTATATTTTAACTATTTTAGACCAGCAGAGAAACGAATGAAAGACTGGGACGAAATCTACAATTTCCAGCATGTAAGAAAAGGTTTAAGGGTACAAGCTGCCAGGTGTATGGAGTGCGGTGTACCATTCTGTCAATCAAACTCTCACGGGTTAGTTGCAACACGTAAATTTTTAATCTGGAACCAAATAAAATAACAAATTAATATTTTTAGGTGTCCATTGGGTAATATAATTCCTAAATGGAACCTGTTGGTGTTCCAAAACCAGTGGCGTCAAGCGTTGAACCATCTCTTACAAACGAACAACTTCCCTGAATTTACAGGAAGAGTTTGCCCAGCACCTTGCGAAGGTGCGTGCGTTTTAGGCATTTCTGAACCCAGCGTCACCATCAAAAACATCGAATGCGCCATCATCGATCATGCTTTTGAAAACGGCTGGATCGTTCCACAGGTAAAGGGACATTTTATAGTCAGCTAGTCATTTAATAGTGATTTTTTATGTTTTTTTTTCTCAGGTCCCTTCATTAAGGAACGGTAAAAAGGTTGCTATAGTTGGCTCGGGCCCAGCAGGCCTTGCTTGTGCCCACCAGCTGAACAAGGCTGGCTATAACGTCACAGTTTTTGAAAGGAATGACAGGATTGGAGGTAATTTCAACCAGTACACATAATATTGCCTGCATATTAAACTATTTCTTTAAGGTTTGTTGCAATATGGAATCCCCACCATGAAACTAAGCAAACAAGTAGTCCAGCGACGCGTAGACCTCCTAGCCGCCGAGGGCATCTCCTTCAAAACGAACGTCAATGTCGGCAAAGACATTTCCGCCAAAGAACTGAGCGAAGAAAACGAAGCTGTGGTTCTCTGCACCGGCGCCACCTGGCCCAGAGACCTCCCACTACCCGGCCGTCAACTCAACGGTATCCACTTCGCCATGGAGTTCCTAGAAAGCTGGCAGAAGAAACAGTTGGGCGCTAACCATGATGGACCGCACGCCAAAGACAAAAACGTCATTATTATTGGAGGAGGTGATACAGGATGTGACTGCATCGCGACATCTTTACGTCAAGGAGCTGCTACGATAACGACATTTGAAATTTTGCCGGAACCTGGCCCAAAGAGATCGAACGATAACCCTTGGCCTCAGTGGCCTAGGATCTTTAGGGTGGACTATGGTCACGAAGAAGTACGTGTTAGGTATGGTTCAGACCCTAGAGTGTTCAGTATAATGACGCAAGAGTTCGTGGATGATGGTGAAGGTCACATCAGCGGAATCAAGACTGTTCAAGTGAAATGGACCAAAGATGACAGCGGTAGATGGCAGATGAACACAGTCCCTGGAACTGAGAAAGTGTTCAAGGCTGATTTAGTGCTTCTTGCTATGGGTTTTCTGGGTCCAGAAAGAGCTATAGGAGATCAATTAGAACTGGAACTGGATCCTAGATCGAATTTCCAAACTAACGACTACAAAACGAGCGTGGATAATGTCTTTGCTGCCGGCGATTGTAGAAGAGGACAGTCGTTGGTAGTATGGGCTATTTCAGAGGGTCGACAGGCAGCTAGGGCCGTTGATGAGTACCTCCAAACTGGTAAAACAACCCTTCCCGGTCCGGGTGGTATTATCCAACCCTCGTTGCAAGCAATTCCTTTTGTTGTCTAAGTAGTAGGTAGAGTAGAAGGTTTATTTTGTTTTCATATCGAGGTATGATGGAAATCCAGGATGGGTGGGAAATATAATCAATATTGTTTGAATTTTTTTGACTTAATGTCGTGTTAAGTCATCCCACGTTGCCTAAGAAGTCAATGTAAATAGAGGTTAGAAAAATGTAGAATTTTGGGGCTTCTAATTTCGAAGTAGTTTTTTTGTTATTTTAGTGAAACTTGAAAGTTTTTCCGTAGTAGATAATACACAATAATACTTTTTAAGAGCTAAAAAACAATATTAAAATAACCAACCACAATGATTCAAAATAAGATGTCCCCAATCTATCTAAAAACCAAAAGAGGTCTAGATTGTTAGAAAAAAATTATCCCAAAATGCTTGTCAAATTCCCTTGGAAATTGTTGTGATTTCATATCCAATTCAGAAGAAAAATAATATATTATCGCCATATATGTCATTTTGTAGTATTTTACCGAATTTCACCAATAAAATTATGAATTTTATTGAATAATTTTGTAAAATACCTACAAATAATTGTTAATATTTTAACTCTAAGAGTTTATGAGCTCCCTAACTATAATATGTATAGTATAAATATTATATGTCAAGTTGATAAATTCTGATATATTTAAACATATCTGTTTGATTTGCTATAGTCTGTAAAACGAATAACTTTGAATTTGACAGTTCCCGCGGGCTTTTCTAGTGTTAATTTTATTAGGTTAGCAACTTGCGGCCATGCTGACACAATGCCGTCTCTAATAGAACAGCCTCAGAGCGAGATTTATGACGTCACGCTAGTTAGATACTACGGATTAATAAATATGTTGTAGAATACATGGAAAACATAATTATTCCTCGTATTTTTGGTTTGTATTTTAAAAATGATATAGTTTACATGAAATATACATAATATACAGTTAATAAATACAATATATATACCTATTTATAGTAATAAATACTTTGGCAGATAAACTATAAACCATACAAATGCAGCAAATGTTTTACAATATGGCTGAAATCGTACTCCATAGTCAATGTAGATAGTTTTTGTATTAAGAATAATAATTTAAAAAAATATGTGGTCATCTTTTGACAAGTTTATATTAGTTTATTAATTGCAGTAAACATTATAATATATAAATAAATTTTGTGATTGCAAATAATAATACATCACTATCGATATTCAATGTTTTTTGTTAAATTAGATCGATTTTCAAACCCCAAAATTTAAAATATATTTTACATTTTACCCATTATCTTATGTACCACCTATTCATTATTTGTATATTGTAAAACATTTGCTGCATTTTTATTGTTCATAGTTTATTTGCCAAAGTATTTATTACTATAAATAGGTATATATTATATTGTATTTATTAACTGTATATTATGTATACTTCATGTCAACTATATCATTTTTAAAATACAAACCAAAAATACGAGAAATAATTATGTTTTCCATGTATTCTACAACATATTTATTAATCCGTAGTATCTAACTAGCGTGACGTCATAAATCTCTGCCCGTGGCTGTTCTATTAGAGATGGCATTGATCTAATATTTAGAAATGTCAAAAGCTGATGACATTTTACTTTTGTCAATTTTGACATTTCGTGATGATTTTTGCAAGGAGAGGAAGAACTGTCACTTGTTTTATTATTTTCCTTTTTTATTTCACGAAAGTAAAAAGAGTTACCTATCTGATTCGTTCAGGCACTCAGTTTAAAGAATATCAGTAACTTTTTTGACAGAGGGGTTTTATATATGCCATGTTGGTAAAAAATAACGGTCAAAATTCAAAGTTATTCATTTTATAGACTATATATTTTAAATTTTAATATACTTTATATTTTTTGAATTCGTTATACGAAAAAATAATATTCTTTTTGCACACATCCCAGGGCTGTATTTTAATATTTTTTAAGCACTTGTATACGTAAACTCGTGTATTATTTTACCGCACATTATCTTATAGGTATTATTGAGCTTTAAATGTCTCTCTTTGATACCCGTTCGCAACGCAAACTTTAAAATCAACTACAAGGTGAGTCATTAATATTGGCCAAATATTGACAAAAAATATTGGTCAACATTTTAATGAATTACGCCCTATAATATATAGCCTTAGTTACTCAAGACAATAACTAATTACTCGTTGAAAAAATGTGATTTTTGAAAGTAACTGTGTAGTTAGAATTCAAAATTAAGGTAGTCGCCAAGAAGTTTTAAGGTTAAAATTCGTATTTTAAGTGATTTGGCCAAGATAAACATAGCCAAAAATTTACTACAATTTTTTTTTCCAATACTGTATAAATTATACAGCGTGTTAATATTTTGATTGAAGAAATTAAAGGAATTAAAAAAGTACCCACCGCGAAAAGTTTAATGCGAAATACAGCAAATATTGATGTAGTTGTAACTACAAAAACAAATTGATGTAGTTGGGGAAACTACATCATATTTCAATGTAGTTGTTATTGCGTTCAACTACGTCATATGCTGATGTAGTTGCAGTTAACTCCATATAACTACATCAAATATAGATGTAGTTTATTGCGTTTAACTACGTCATATTCTGGCGTAGCAGTCCTAAATGTTGAAGCAGTTGTCATGGTCTACAACTAACTACATCACCTATTGATGTAGTTATCGCAACTACATAAAATAATTTGATGTAGTTGGGACTACATCAATTTTAGATGTAGTTGTTATTGCGTACAACTACATATTTTAATATAGCAACTACGTTAAAATGACTACATCAAATTTTAGGGTATGTTATGTACACCAATTTTTGATGTAGTATTTTGATATAGTACATAGAATAGTAAGAAATGTAAGGAGTTTTTAATAAGTTTAAATTGGATTAAAAAATGGTTATATCGAAATGCTACACCCTGTATATATCTTTTTATTTTTATCAAATTTTAAAAAGTATTATGTGATTCATAAATGAGGCTTACCAATGCAAATTTATATTGTTTTTATGCCTATTTATGATTGTTTTTTATTTCTAAAAGGTCTAAATTTTATTATTCGTTTTTAAAGGAATTTTTACATTAAATTATACAAACGATTCTATGTATTTAATAATAGGTATAAATAAATTGTGCACCTTAATATTGTTTGTAAACTAGTTGAAATTCCAAAATTTTGAAAATTCCAGGTTTTTTTTGATAAGAAATATACAGTGTTGATCAGAAAAAGTTCACTTTAAATATGATATTTTTTGATTAGTTTATTTTGTTTAGAATACATTCTAAAGGTATTTTCTTCTAAATATGAGAAAAAGTTGTTTAGTTTTTCATTCTACATTTTTATAATTAATTTTTATTGTAATACGTATTCTTGTACTAATAATAAGTCAAATAATTTATTAGAAAAAAAAATGAAACAATATTACTGAAAAAAACATCATTATTTGACGTGAACTTTTAGTTACCCGGTATATTTATTTTATGTTTATTCCAGTTTATACATAAAATAAAAAAAATAATTTATGGTGCACTTTTTTGAATTGTTCCAAAAACGACTATAATTAGTAAAACAATAATATAGTCAATATTAATAAATAGATGTTGTTACTGCAATATGCTGTTTTATTTAATTAATTTTATAATAATTCTAAATTTCTCTCTCATATACAGGATGAAACATCCAAACCAAACCAAAAACATGTGCCATCTCTCGTGGGGAGATTTCTCACGTAAAAAGATTTATTTTTCATATTAACATAGGTCCAATTCTGCTTTGTTTCGTAGCTACAGGGTGTTAAGTTTTATTTTTTTTTTTCGATTTATTATAATTTTATCTTAATTTTATTAATTGTGATTAATAAAATTGCGTGATTAATAAAATCTCATCAAGGAGGCCGAATTCTACAAAATATCAAGAGATAACTTTTTGGCGTTACTACACAGTTTTGATATCCAAAGAAAAAGTCAGCGGCGCACATGTTTTTTTTTTGAAAAATATTCCAGTGATAACCCATATGCACGTCCCTGATGAGTTTATCGACACTTTTATAGCATTAAAATATGTAGCACTTATAGTAACTTTTACCCAAAAAATTTCATTTGAGTCACTAAAAGTACTTGAAGAAAATTGTAAATAAATTAAAAGACTTTAACACCCTGTAGCTACGAAACAAAGCAGAATCGGACCTATGTTGATTTTATGTATATCTAAAAAAGAAATAAAATACAGGGTGTTCCATAAGAAAAAATATAACTTTGGAATGGATCTTAGTTCTGACACACAATGTTTTTATTTTGCTCTGACACACCCTGTAAATTTGAACATAATTTTAAATTATGCATATTGCCTCTCTACATATACCCATAAAAAAATTTGTTTCTACATCTTTCCGTTTTCGTATATTCCTGTATATAGATATTATAGATTGTTAATTTTTATTATTCATTTCAAAAAATTATTTCAGATATTAACCCCTCTAACAATAAGACAAAAAGACCCTTATTAAGCTTATTATATACCGTATCTATTTTAATACCTGCTTTGAAAATCGTCCCATAAATAACTTTCAGGTTTCAAATTGATTATTGAGCAATCAGTTACCCTAGCAACACACCTTGAACTACCTTTTACACAAAAGACCCTCATTGACGTTTCTGCAGTGCAGTTTTTAATTGTCAAATATTTTTTATAAATAATACAAAGGGTCCTTTTCGAAGCAGGACTCTTTGTACTCAATACAAGTTTGTCAGAACTCATTTTCAGAACATAAAGTATGTAAGATGACCTCAATAAGTAGTAGTAACGTATCTGCGCAAAGGTCTCCAATAATTCAAGCAGATATAAGGTATATTTACATCTATTTAAAGTATTTCTAGGTGATCTAAATAAACAATTTTAGGAGTAAATCATGTGATACGGTTTGTACCTCAAATTCAAGTTGTTTTTTCAAAAAAAGAAAACCGATGAATCCCTTAGCTTACTCGATAAGGCCGACATATCATAAGGCGAATAATAATCCAGTGAAACAGAGAGTTATGTCTGCTAAATTGCTGAAATTGAGGCAGTTACAAAGTCAGTTGAATGATGCGAATTTTCATCTGGTTGTAAGTTTTTGAAAATAGTTTGTTTTAAAATTGTTTGGATAAATTATTGTAGGAGGTTGCTAGAGAAAACCAAGTATTAAAAACGTTGCAAAAGAGACAAGATAAGGCTTTATCAAAGTAAGAGAACTTTTCATTTAATTATTATACAGGGCGTCCCAGAAATAAGTGCAAGTATTTTAACTGGCAGTATAATTCAACCCCAGAAACACGCATACTTTGAATAAGAAGACTAAGGAAGGAGCATAATGGCTATCCATGTATTCATGCATGGTGGGCGGAAAAAGGACTCTAGGGTGGGGATCCTTGACAGTTTTGTTTGACGATTCATTTGACACATTTGAATTTGATTTGAAATTTTACGGATTTGTCAGTCTTTACGGAGCTTATTTTATGTTATTTATTATTTATTCTACTACTGATAGTTGTATAAAGGTAGTAAATCTAGATGGAAATTGTGGCAGAACTTAAATTAACAGTGTCACTATCGCGATTTATCGAAAAAGACTCTAAAATAGTCGGTTGTGTAGCGTGCGGTAGATCTCGGCAAAAATCGAGTGAAATAATGGAACAACTTTTCGCTAGTAAGTGACTATATAATATACATACGTGTAGAAAACCGATCATTTATGAAATTCACTTAAATTAACTAATTATATATTTTTTCTTGCATTTTTGCTTTTATTTACTACTTGTCAAAGATTAGATGTCAAAGAATTTAGATACGTCAATTTGACTTACCTGCTTCAGTAGCGTATCGGATGTTTGTGTTAATAAATAAATATTAAAACTTATCTATTTTTATTATAATAATATGTTTTTATAACAATTTTAATAACTACCAACATTTATTCACAACGTAAAATAAAAAAAAATATTGAGTCTACCCCACGTAACCTATCCTACCCTACATCATAGTTTTACATTTTTTAAATAAAATTAGAACGGCACTGATAAAGCGGAATTTAAGTCGGCCATATTTGAGTCCCATCGCGGTGGACCTAAGATTTTTGATATGCTCCTTCCTTAGTCTTCTTATTCAAAGCACGCCTATGGGGTTTTTTTCGCGAAAAAAAATATTTTGAAAATTCGAAATTTTTTGAAAGTTTTTTTAGTTTTTAGTTAAAAAACATAATTTCTTGATAATATGGCAACATATAGTACGAGAGCTAGCAACGTCGGAAAAACACGTATTTTAAGACATCTGGCTCTTTGATATTTCTTTTACTATGCTCTCTAGAACAGCATGTGGCCCGTCTGGCTGCCGGTAAACGTTGCGTTCCGTACTGCATATTGAAAGAAGATCCTTCATTTTTATTAGTCCTTTAAATTCTAGTATTGAATATAAATCGAACATGTCTCAGAACCGATGATTCAGAGTTCGAATCCGGGACAGGGCAAAGACTTTTTTATTTTATTTTCGTTTATATTCTGATAGTAAAGTATTAATAGCTATTTATGTAACTAGTACCTAAAATGATGTTTTTTAGGACGAATCATTACTGTTTGCGGACGAGGCGTTAGCCGAGTCCGAAATAGTAGATGAGTCCTAAAAAACATAATTTAGGTACGTGTTACATACACTATTTTTTGTCATACGCTTTTTACAGTTTTTAGAACGCATATTTGCAAATTTTCCATATTTGAAATTATAATGTTTGAAAAAGTTGGCTTATAAATTCATATCTTAGTAACGAGTTTGTTTATTTCATCGCATTTTGACATGTCATTCGAAATTTGTCACAAAATCACACAAATTCATCAACAATTTTAAAATGTTCCAAAATCCCGAACATATTGCTAATAAGGCCAAAAGAAATCGTGTTGGATTTGACTTCCTGTGAAGTCTCGTGCCATTTACCAGAAAGAATATGATGTTTTTAATGAATGGAAAGACAAAAATGGCGTATTCGTTTGTAAATGAAGATGTATTGCTAAATTATTTCCACGAAAAAGTAAGTACCTAGGTACCTATTTAAAGAGGCTTTTAAATTAAAATATTCTTAAATTACAGTCACAAACATTCAAACCATCGTCAATTTGGTCGAAATATTCCATGCTGAGAGCAGTGTTAAGTGTTAAAGAAGATATTTATATTGACAAATTTCCAAAACTTATTGCTTTTTGAAGAGGAATTCGGTTGGTTACGAGCCTAAAAGTCTAAGGTTTTGTCCATAAAAGAGATCGGTGATTTTTGGCCACGGCTAGTGATGAAACTTATTTACTTACTAAGGTAAGTTTGCGATAATGATTTTTAAAATATATAGATGGTTTCTTATTCCATTGTATTTGATTTTTAGGTAGCTCTTGTCATTGGCCTTTGTGGAGCTGTAGAAGAGAAGAATTGTACTCTCTACGAGTGCAAGACATCATAGAAAAAGACAACAGCTGCCTTTTAGTTACCCTTGCGGATACAAAAACTAATATCAAAAGAGTGTTTCCGGTGGTGAACGAAGGGAACGTTGTCAATCCAGTTGAGTTGTATAGAAAATATGCTTGTCTTAGGCCAAAAAATGTACCACATGATTATGTCTTCATCTCTTATCGTAAAGGAAAATGCACCGTGCAACGAGTCGGCATTCATTCATTTGGGAAGATGCCATCGATTGTAGCAGCATTTTTAAAGTTGTCGAACCCAAACGAATATACAGGTCATTGTTTCCGACGTAGTTCTGCTACTCTTGCTGCAGATGCAGATGTGGATTTTACATCGCTGAAACGCCTAGGAGGTTGGAGGTAAAAATTTTAATATTTTCCGATCTTGTTCTAAACAACAATAATTATTTAGGTCGTCCACAGTGGCCGAAGGTTACATAGAAGAATCTATTGAGAAAAAGAAGAAAGTTTGCAAACTGCTAATGGGGGAAAAGAAAATCGCGACCACTTCCACGGATGTATTACCAAGTACATCATCGTTCGCATTTACTCCACCTCATCAGAAAGTAAATTTACCTGCCAATGGAGGAGTCGTTTCGATTGCAGATGCAAGTTTTCAAAATGCACAAAATTGTTCATTTCATTTTTATTTTTCCAAATAACTTAGCTTTTGATATTGTTAGTATTTAATAATTTAAAAATCAAATACAATGGAATAAGAAACCATCTATATATTTTAAAAATCATTATCGCAAACTTACCTTAGTAAGTAAATAAGTTTCATCACTAGCCGTGGCCAAAAAATCACCGATCTCTTTTATGGACAAAACCTTAGACTTTTTAGGCTCGTAACCAACCGAATTCCTCTTCAAAAAAGCAATAAGTTTTGGAAATTTGTCAATATAAATATCTTCTTTAACACTTAACACTGCTCTCAGCATGGAATATTTCGACCAAATTGACGATGGTTTGAATGTTTGTGACTGTAATTTAAGAATATTTTAATTTAAAAGCCTCTTTTAAATAGGTACCTAGGTACTTACTTTTTCGTGGAAATAATTTAGCAATACATCTTCATTTACAACGAATACGCCATTTTGTCTTTCCATTCATTAAAAACATCATATTCTTTCTGGTAAATGGCACGAGACTTCACAGGAAGTAAATCCAACACGATTTCTTTGGCCTTATTAGCAATATGTTCGGGATTTTGGAACATTTTAAAATTGTTGATGAATTTGTGTGATTTTGTGACAAATTTCGAATGACATGTCAAAATGCGATGAAATAAACAAACTCGTTACTAAGATATGAATTTATAAGCCAACTTTTTCAAACATTATAATTTCAAATATGGAAAATTTGCAAATATGCGTTCTAAAAAACTGTAAAAAGCGTATGACAAAAAATAGTGTATGTAACACGTACCTAAATTATGTTTTTTAGGACTCATCTACTATTTCGGACTCGGCTAACGCCTCGTCCGCAAACAGTAATGATTCGTCCTAAAAAACATCATTTTAGGTACTAGTTACATAAATAGCTATTTTTTTTAAATTACCAGAATTATTTAATACTTTACTATCAGAATATAAACGAAAATAAAATAAAAAAGTCCTTGTCCTGACCCGGATTCGAACTCTGAATAATCAGCTCGTGGTCGGAAACTCTACGCACTACGCTATGGAGACATGTTCGATTTATATTTAATACTAGAATTTATAGGACTAAATTAATAAAAAAATGTAGGATCTTCTTCCGATGCGCAGTAGTGAACGCAACGGGCATCGGCAGCCAGACGGGCCGCATGCTGTTCCAGAGAGCATAGTAAAAGATATATCAAAGAGCCAGACGTCTTAAAATACTTTCTCGAAAACGTTGCTAGATCTTAGACTAATAGGTATTAGATTAAATTTACAAGAAAGAAATTCCAGAAAAGATCCAGTGGTTCTCAAAATTTTAGCACAAAATCATTTTTTTTTGGAAATCTTCAAAGTAAAATAACTCCGTTATTTTGGACTTATTTGAAAAACGATAAAGAGAAAATATCCTTCTTTTATCGAGATCTACCACCCCGTTAAATACTTGCACTTATCTCTGGGACATCCTGTATTTAAATTAATTTTTGAAAAAATCCTGTACCAAAGTATCGATCGTATGAATGAAAAAAAAACGGCGTCATGTTGGCCTGGAAATTACCATTAATGATATTTTCTGAGCCAACTATGACACCGGTTTTTTTTCGACTTTATTTAAAATGCTATTTTTCTAGATATGAAAATACAAACGCTGATTTGCCACGTCTTCTACACTCGCACGAAGAAGAGATCCGTGTTCTGTCAGACCGAAATAAAAATTTAAAGAAACACGTTAAAGATCTCACAGAACAATTGAAACTAAGAGAAGATGAATTGCTAAGAGTCAGAGAACAGCTATCCCATTTGGAAAAACTAAACAGGGATAAGCATTTAGTGGAAAGGGAAAAACTAACCGATCAAATGGAAGATATGAAGATCAGGCTGCAAAAAAGCGAGGAACAAGTGATAGTGTTGAATAGGAAATTAATTTTGGAAGGTAAAACATCTAGGCAGAGATTAAACTCGGAGTTGACCCGGTATAAACAGAGTCAAAGGGAGTTGCTGCATGCTCTGGATGAGATTGACAGGCTCAGTGGATTACTTGAGGTAAATATATAAGGGTGTTTCAATATTCTGTAAACATAAAACTATTATACAGGGTTGTTCGAACTGTATTCCGAAAACTTCGGCATATTGTGTAGATAAAAATAAGTAAAAAGTTCGTATAAATGCAAGAACGGTAAACTAATAGGATTGCTTATCCTCATAAGACGTACCCTCATAAGACGTCCCGCGCTTCAGCTGACAGTTGTGACGTCATTGTAGCCCTTGTCAAAGCCATCGTGGCCTTGTCATGATAGTGTGTATTTTTAGTTGCCTATGGTAAACTTATAAAAATAACAGCTGAGAAATTTTGAGTTAATTATTTTGTCAATTCTAAATGTGAAAAAGGTGTCTTTAAAGTTTTTAGAGTTATAGAGTGTGTAAATACGTTCATTTTGTGTTGTGGATTGTGACAAAGTGCTTACTAAGTGCCCACGATTTTGTTTATTAATTATTTTAAAGCAAAATATGGAAGTACCAATTTTCTTTATTATTGTTTGCATACATATAAGGTGTTTAAATAAATAAACTAAATAATGAACGTTTTGCATTCGGTAACCAATAATGCACGTGTGTGTATTATTGGTTGCCGGATAAGGACTAATAATCATGACAAGGGCTACAATGACGTCACAAAGCGAGTAGTTTTCGCGTGCACCTGGCGGACACTTTTGGCTGAATGAGCAGTCCTATTAGGTTAACTGTTCTTGGTATAAATGTATGTTCTAAAATGCTGTGTTTCGAAGATACAGGGAGTAGAAGTTTCATTTTATTTTAATTTTTTCCAAATAATTTCTGAAGTAACATCAATATTTGGATGAAAATTGGTGTCTGGCATATTTTTGACATGAGAAATTTGATTTTGATGTCGATATGACTCCTATTTGTAGAGGGCGCCTACATGTGTTTTAACTGATTTGAAGAGTAATAACTTTTCTCTCGTCCGTACCTGTATAAAACTACTGAATGAAAAAATATAAATTTTCGTGATTTTTTACGTAAAAAACGTCTCTTAGTAAAAATCGCTACGAATAACCATTCTCAAGATATTTAGAATGGAAATAGTCAATACATGTCATTATTGACAAAAATTAAACATATTGAGTGGATAGGAGTGGTATACAAGTAGTCATATTAACATCAAAATCAAATTTCTCATGTCAAAAAACTGCGAGACACCATTTTTTTTGAAAAAAATCGAAATAAAATTGAAACTTCTACACCCTGTATCTCCGAAACTAAGCATTATTTTAGGACATACATTTATACGAACTTTTTTACTTATTTTTATCTACAGAATATGCTTTTATGCAATTTATCTCTCGAATCAAAGTGCTTGGTTTGCCCCTTTTGCCCCATAGATAAAAGACTTATACTATTAAATAGATAGGCAACTTATAATACATTTCAATTTTATTATACAAGGGCGCCTCTGGTAGACGGAGGAAGAAATACTAATTGAAGAGAGGGGTGCGGGGAAGGGGGGTTGTTTTAGTTAATTTAAAATAAATTTAGACATACAAGAACACTTTGTGTGCTTTTAATTAGGTCGAACATATTATAAACGATAAATCAACTGTATTAAAAGCATACAAAGTGTTCTTATATGTCGGATATTAATTAAAAAATATATTAAAAAGACTAGAAATAGTATATATTAAGTTGTTACAGTTATAATTTAATCTTTGGCGGTTTTCAGCAAATAGCGGGCAGTTTTACATAATTTTCCTCCCTTTGAAGTGAATTGGAAACGGCTATATAATTTTGGTGTAGGCAAGATTCCCAGTTTGTTTCCGTTTGGGATCTGAAATAATAAAAACAAATTAAATTAGATGTTATCATCTGCTGATCATGCTAATATAAAACGCGCGTCCTTAATTCCTTACATGCACCGTAAAAAAAATTAAATAACTGCTCTGCAAGTAGCATTTATTAGCAGTACTAATTTAACAAATCTATAACTGTAAGTAGATATGTTTAATTTACTTACCATTGTATCCTTCGGAAACCAGGTGTACAACAATTAAACTCCATGATAAAAAATATTGTCTAAAACAGAATACTGGCAAAAAATCTGAAGGAATTTAATTTTACAATAATTCGACAAATCAAAACGAAATCAAACCGTAAAATCACAACAAAAGCGTCTCTGAGTGACAGTTAAAAATCAAATTTTATTATTGTCAGATATTGACATTTGCATTGTTAATATTGACAGTTTTAATATTTTGCGCCTCTGCATCTTGGAGGAAAAACTATTTTTAATGAACTGTCATTTCCATTTAAGTTTCTCAGCCATGGTTTGCCCGTTACAAGGCATTAAAATTTATGAAGCTTATTGCCAAAAATCATTTGTGACAACTAGATTTAATACTATAGAGAGATAAATATTTTTTGATAGAAAATGACATTCTGAACAGAATTACACATCATATGTCAACTTTTGATACTTTCACTTAAAAATAATATTTGAGGAGAGCCACTTTTGAAAACCACTCGGTATACCGTAAGCTGCACAAGTAACTAACACTATTTTTGAAGCCTCTTAATAAAATTCACAATAATCTCACTGTAATTCAAATTCTGACACAATGTTTTTCCAGATTTAAGTACTTTACATAAAAACAATTATTATAAAATAAATCAGAAATAATAAATAAATTCAAAAATCTGACTTTTTACTTACGGTGAATTCCGTTGCTTACCTTGGTTATGGTTTTATGTTCCGTTTCTATCGGTTTCCTGAAATTTTTCTTATTACGGAACACGGTTCCTGCAAAATATCGGTTGTAACTGTCACCAAATTAACCAGCGCGCAGCGTGAAAAGAGAGAAGGCTGGTTTTTCTGGTTTTGTTTGTCAATCAATGTCATTTATGTGACAGAAAACAAGCATATAATTGTTTCTTAAAGTCAGGAACATTTAAAGAAAACATGAAAAACAAGGCAACAACTAATCGTGAATGTTTTGTAAGCCATAAAAATATAAAAATAAAAATTGATTAGATTTGTTTATTTATTATTGATCTATTTTAATATTAGATCTGCAAATCTTCACTTGAGCTGTCTAACGAGTTTAACAGTTTATTAGTAAAGTAGTTTTAAATAGTAATCTCCATTGAAAAGAAGAAGGAAACCTAAAAGCAGGTAATAGGTACATTAAAAATGCATAAATGATAAATTTTATGATTGTGTTTTATGATATTGATGTTTCCAGTATTTTACCAAACCATTCCGTATCAAACCGATGTTTTTCAGGAACCGTAGTTTACCGGTCTGGTTCGCCTGGTTTTGCAACGGAATACAGCCCGTTATTTTTTTATTCAAAAGCCGGTGCAAAAAAATCTGAACCACCCTGTATAAATCTTTACAAATCAATGAAATTTTTAGGCTAAAGAAAATGTAGTGCGTCCTAGAAACCCGAGATTCCTTAAAGGAAACATGAGGGATTCCGTGTCTTTGATGAGCCTGAAGAATTTACAATGTCAGAAAGCGCAAGTCAGTAACGAAAAACTGAACGGTTTGAAAGAAATCAGTCAAACTCCCGTGACTGAAGTGAAACTAGAACCCTTGGGAAGTGCATTTGGTAGGAAAGATTCTGGAAGTAGTGGTTCCAGGAAGAACAGTGGAAGTTTTAGAGCTCCCATGGAGAATATCAAGCAAAGACTGACAGGAGATGGGCAGAAAAATAATGAAATTAATGGAAATATGGATGATAATCCAGATGATAGGGAAACGTCTTCGTCAAGTCTGAAAAATCGACCTAGTAGTTCTGTTAAGTTAGAGAAACTACCTATGGTCGTGGAAAATCAAAAAACGAAGAGCGAAGACGTGAATAAAGAGGTTTTTGAAGAAAAAAATCGCACAGAATTAATATTTCCTAGTATACGTAATAGTAAAATAATTACTGAGAAATTTATAAGGTATGTATATTTTTAAATTTAATTTTGTAACACTCTCTTCATTTCAAACATACCGCGCTGGCAAGTCTTGCTATTGGGTCTTGCTACTCGTCCCGTCGCGTCTTCTATCGACGAGCGGGCCGAGGTTGCCATATTTCAACCATACAGCTCTTGCCGCGACTAATAAACAAATTAACAACCTGTATATTATTTATTTAGCGAAGAACGACGGGTAAGCGAGATGCAAGCACAATCCAAACAGGTGAGTTTTAGTGAAGACACTAAAGAAGATGAATACGAAAATTCTTCTGGCGATGAACTGACAAATATTATGCATCAAATAAAGAGGGAAAAAGACACTAAACTGGCTTTACTGAAAATGAATAGAAACAAACTTGACAATACGGATGGCAACAGTTCGAACGGTAGCTGCGAACAGGGTGAGGAAGATTTTGAAAAACTTACTGAATCTTTAGGTAAAAAAATTCTTTATACTTGCCGGCTATGATTTTTTTAACGAAACACCCTGTATAATATTGCATTTTTGAGCTTCCTTTCTGATCACTTTCCTTTATCCTAAGGTATTATTAAATTTGTTTTGATATATTCAAAGATAAATAAATAGAAAAAAATATATTTTCAGGCTTTTTAAAGAAAAATATTAAAAATACAAGAAATGCCCTGATATCAAAACTATATTAGGTATTTACTATAGCTGGTCTGTACTTACTTTGTTATAAATATCTTAATCTTAAATCATACAGAATTTTCAAAATTTCTAAAATATAAAATAATTCTTCGTTTTTTGCTATTAAGATTGGCAAAAAAAATGTTTTTTTAATTTCACTCAAAATGAGTTATTTGGGTCACCAATGACCTAAATACAAAATATTTTCATGGTGTCTGTCTGTCTGTTTGTTCGTCTGTAACACGATAACTCAAAAACCGCTAAACCGATTTTAACCAAATTGGGCACAAAAATACTGTGGCACCCGAGAATCTGGCCATTAGTTTTTGGTGGGGGTGGGGGGTTGGTAAGGGGGTATAGGAGGGGGTTAAAAATTTTAAAAAATCGTAACTCCATAACTACAGTAGCCTAAGATTAGGAATAATATTTGCAACAAAATTTGTAATAAGAAAATCAATCAAAGTATTAACATAAATATTTTAGTATGGGCGACTATACGTGCCTCCCGGCGCCAATTTTTTTTTAATGGAACACCCGGTATATTATTTTTTTGTTAGATGCAGAATTAAAAAATGAACATTTGTTGTATTTAAAACATTTCAATTTTTTTTGGCGGTTTTGCAGATATTCTCTGTATCATTTTACATATGGCTCTTTCACAGTAAATTTTTATCAAAGCAACTTATGATATTTGTCTGATATTTTATCGTTGAAAGAGCCATATGTAATACTACCGCGAATATCTACGAAACCGTTAAAAAATAAACGAAATTCAACAGAATCACTTAAAAATTATATTTCGTTTATAGACGCTGCTATACAAAGAGCTACCGAAAATTCCAAGGAAGAATTCGACAAAAAGTTGGGAAACTACTGTTCAGAAGTTTTATCTAGCGTAAAAAACTGTAACAAAGTAATCGAGGTGCACAAAGAAAGTCTTCTTTCGTCGAAAAAAGATACGAATTCTTTGATAGACACGCTGAGAAGAACAGAGGCTGCCGAACACAAATTGAAAAATTCCTTTTTTGACATGAACGACGATATGTCGTTTGTCCAGGAAATACTTAACGAGGAATACAAGTTTCAACTGGCGCACAATGTAAGATTAAAATTATCTTTAAATATTTTAATATTCTCCCGCTGGTCTATACAGGGTGCGACAAATTCGAGGTACGAGCATTGGTATCTCGGTAATCGTAAAAGATACGAACATGGTTAAATTGGAGCAAAGTTGCCCGCTTTGGGATGTTCACCAAGATGCCACCAAAAAAGTTTTAAAAATTTCAAGGATTGCTGAGTTTTTTTGGAAAACACAGATTTTTTTGGAAAACACAGATTTTTTTGAAAATCAATTTTATTTTTTCCTGTCGTTACTGTTTAGAAAAGCAAGAAACTAATTGCATATTCTCATAACCACTTTATTAGGGCTATCTGATAGTATTTTTAGATTTTCCATTTAGCTGATAATTTGTCAGATACAGAGGCCAACTTAATTTTTTTAAATACGGACCTGCATTTTCTATTTTTATTTCAGGTTTTGAAAGAACTCGGTGTCCTGAGTACAATGATATGCCACACTTTATACTTTTTTTTATTTTGAATACTTTAACAACAACAAAACTATTTAATTATTATCTAAAATAAATTCAAGTCCGACTCTGGTTTTTTAAATTATTTCATCTGATTATATTCATCGCAACAATATTGATCAGCGCTAATTAACATTGAATAAGGAAAATCGAGCCATTTGGAAGATTCAAATAAATAATATCCAGGTTAGCAATTTAAAGATATTATTTTTAACTTGTTTTATTGTGAATTTGACATCTCAGTGGGCGATCTAATAATATGCATAATATTAATTATTATAAGTAGTTATTATAAATAAATCAACTTCTTCAAATTAGTTTCTAATGCTCTAGATATTCGAACGAAAGGGTTAGCACCCTCCCTATTGCACAAATTTATTTTTCGTTCAATTTTATTTATAGCTCTTTGAACAGATCTTATACTTCCGAATGCATTTTGTACTCTTTATTGTAAATGTTGAGTGTATTGATTACACTTTTACAAATGACGTCAAGTAATGTTTTTATTAATCCTTGGCGACATGTCCAGGAACCTCGCTGGCCATTATACTGCTCTATCATTTCCAATCCATCTTCCAGGGAAATGATTTGATTGTTTATTATTTATTTTATATCGTTTTTTATTGTTCTATTGCGTTTGATTTTCCAATGAATAGATTAAATATTTAAAAATAACAGAGCCGGACTAGAAATTAGTTTAAATAGTGTTCAAATGTCCGAAACAAAAAAAAATATTAAGTGTGGCATATCGTTGTACTCAGGAGACCGAGTTCTTTCAAAACTAATTAGAAAATCTAAAAATACTATCAGATAGCCTCAATAAAGTGGCTATGAGAATGTGCTATTTGTTTTTTTCATTTTCTAGGAGGTAACGAGAGGAAAAAATAAAATTGATTTAAAAAAATAGTTTTTTTCCAAAAAACTCAGCAATCCTTGAAATTTTTAAAACTTTTTTGATGGCATCTTGGTGATATATATGATATATATATATATATATATATATATATATATATATATATATATATATATATATATATATATATATATATATATATATATATAACTATTTCAATCATTCTTGATAGTTGTGTACTATAGTTAAGGGTACTAATTATGAATTATGTTGAGTAATTTTTGTTTGGTGATTTTTAAGGATTCCATGAAAAATCCCAACCAAGACAAGAAACCATTGGTGAATCTAGAGAATAAGAAAAAACTGTTGGCAACACTGCGTGCAATAGACAACGGTGATAGTATCGAGAGCTTAGAAGAATCTAAACCGAATATGATGAAAGAGATATTTGGTCACATAGCCCATTAACCGATTTCAAAAAATACATAATTATAATGGAACAAGAATAACAAAATGTTATATATAATATATATTTATTTACAATGTTTATAATAAATAAAATTATAATTATTTGTTTAAAATTTGGCGCGTGTCTGTGATGAACAAAACCTAACCTAGATAAAGTAGTTTTAGAACAATAATACTTATAAATACAAGTAATTTATTATTGTATTTACAGTTTTATACAACTAAAAAATATATAAACAAAATAATTAGACGTATAGTCGATGAAATCCCTTAAAAAGTATTTGGAAAAGGAATTATGCTTATATTATGGAAAAATGTAAGGTCAACTTTGATTAAAGTTATTATACAGGGTGTCCTAGGGTGAACTGAGATCTCGGAAACTATTAGAGATACGAAAGAGGTCAAATTATGGCAAATTAAAAAAATTATGATGTATTTCATGTTTTTTTTTTAATGTATATATTTTTGTGAAATAAATAAAAATTAATGAAGTATTTAAAAAATAAAGTTATTGCAAAACTACCATTATTTGACCTCTTTCCAACACTTATAGTTTCCTAGACCCGCCGAATTTTGGACATCCTGTACAGCAAAACACATTTTGGAAAATACGTGCACTGTTGGAAATACCTTTTTAGAGTAACGACACTGTATTTTGGCGTAATTTCAAATTATTTTCGGTGTAATTCTCATATTATTTTTGAAAAATATTTTAACTTAAAACAAACATTTCTCTTCCTTTAAAAAAATAAACCATTTTACTTACAGCTAAATTTCTTTTGACTTTTCTTCTTTGACAGGTTTATAAGTGTGGTTTTGAGTATTCCACAACTTGTAATACAGGCTATTTGGATTCTGTAAAAGGCTGTCGTGTGTGCCCCTTTCACTTACTCTTCCGTGCTCAAAAACGAATATTTCGTCAGAGTCCATGATGGTGCTCAACCTGTGAGCAATGCATATGGAAGTCCTTCCTTTGGTAGCATTGCGCAAAGCTTTAAGGATATTCTAAAAAATATATGATTAGACCTTTTAGTAAAGAACATCTGTCAAAATTTACATATTCTGTAATAGAATCCAACGAGCTTGTAGCCTCGTCGAAAATTAAGATAGGTGAATTTTTCAAAATAGCTCTGGCTATCGCTACTCTTTGTTTTTCTCCTCCTGATAGCTTCAAACCCCGTTCACCCACTTGTGTTTGGTATTTATTAGGCCACTTCATTATGGAATCGTGAATTTCTGCCATTTTGGCAGCCTCAATGACCTAAAATCAATTTGAAATTTGTACCTATGCCATATTATTAACAAATTTCGAATATAGATCTTCTCATGTAATGTATACAAATAATATTAATAGACAAACATTACTGTACCAATAAGAAGGTTACCAGTGGTGTGCAGTGCTAATCAAAGCAGGATAGGCAAAAATTAGCAAAATAATGAAATAAAAAAGTGTAAGTAATTTATTAAATAATCAACATAATTATTTTTTACTCTAAATTGGGGAAACATTTTTAGATTTTGAATCACTGGGAAATATATGAGAATTGCGCGATAATGCATTTGTCAAAAATAATTTAAATATATCTTACTACTGCAACCATTTGTTACTACAAATGGTTAATGAGAATTATTGTTAGATTTGTAATGACTTGTGTTATAAAGTAATGATATGAAAAAAAAGTTTTTCATATCAAAGAAATTTAGTTTGTTGTAGGCTTTGTTTATAACAATATCTTGACGATTTGAACTGGCGCGCGAGGCGTGCTGACCAATAGCGCCTGTTATCACCTGTGACGTAGCAACCAACCTGCGCAATATCATACCTTGTATTCTTTGTACCATGTACTGTAATAGTACCAATTTTGGTAAATACATTTTAGCACAATTTAAAAGAACGATTTGCATATAAATTATACAAACAATTAAGATTTCATTTAATTAAAATTAATATTAATAATAAAGCCCAGTTTTATTTTTATGCATACCAAATACCAACTGGTTAAAAAAAAATCATGCCTTCAATGTTACATGAAAGAAACTAAATAATTCACCAAAAGTTACGTGAAAGAAACTATAGATGATACCTCTTCTTCACTGGCATTTAGGTCTCCGTATCTTAGATTATGTAAAATAGTATCATGAAACAGCACTGAATCCTGAGGAACAATTGAAATAGATTTTCTTAGGCTTTCTAAATCGACATTACGAATATCATTCCCAGCTATTAAAATCCTTCCATTAGTAGGCTCAAAGAATCTATAGAGCAATCTCACCAAGGTAGTTTTCCTAAAAAAAAACCTCTCATTCTATGATACAGTGAAAATTTAATATGGTATACCCCGATCCTGAACCACCAACAATAGCAATCTTCTTCCCAGGCGGTATAGTTAGATTCAAGCCATTTAAGATACTTTTTCTTGAACCATAATCAAAACTAACATTATCAAAAACAATTTCAGATGATTTAGAATCAACATACAGATAGGGTGCATGTGGTTTGTTCTAAGAAAAAAGTATTAAAATTAAAATTATTTATTTATTTAATTATAGGTAAGAATACCTTAATATTACTATCCATAGACATTAAGGCAAACATAGTTTGCATGTCAATAAGAGCCTGTCTTACTTCTCTGTAGACACTGCCTAAAAATCCTAAAGGAATTGACAATTGAAAGAGAAGACCATTTACCATTACTAAGTCTCCCACAGTCATGTTTCCTGTATAAATTTTATTATTAACAATATTTTAATCATATATTTACAGCAATTTACCTCTAAGTATTTCATTTGCAGCCAAAATCATAATACCACTCAAGGCAACACTAAAAATCGCATTCTGACCAAAATTTAACATTGCCAAACTAGAACTGGTTTTTAAACTAGCATCCTGATATTTTTTTAAAGATTCGTCGTATTTATCAGCTTCATACCTTTCATTATTAAAGTACTAGAATTATACAGAGGTAATAGAAGGTGTATAGAGTTATACAGTTTGTCTAAAACTACCTTTACTGTCTCATAGTTAATCAAAGAATCTACAGCTTTATTTCCTGCATCGTTCTCAGCTTTATTCATGAAAATTCGAAATTTCGTACGCCACTGCGTTATGCCCAACGTGTAAGCAGCATACACACCAACACAGCCCAAAGATATCCCTAAATATAAACAACTATTTTAATAGGTACTCCTGTATATAGGATGACACAAAAAGCTCAGGATTCCTATTCAATATTTTCAATTTATTCAAATACAGAGATATATGATTCAAATATAATTTTAAATGACATTATTGTATTTTGTAACGGAAATATAATGGTAATCCACTGAACAAAAAAAAATACACTGCATTGTATTTAAAGAACTACAAATTTAGTTTTAAAGTAAACATATTTCTTAATCATCCTGTATATACTTTTTTTAAGATGTAGGGTACTACTGCCTGTATATTTTGTAGAAAAACTGGAACACTCTGTCAATCTGTATAATTTTTTTTAACTGATTCTTACCTGCAAATGCTGCACCACATTTAACACCCAGTATAGACGAAACAATAGCAAGTTCAAACATTGTGGGTACTATATTGAAAACCATTGCGGTCAGTACAAAATTTATTCCTCTAGAACCTCTATCAATCGTTTTTGATAAGGCACCTATAAAAAACGAATTTTCTAAACAACAAACACTTTTTTAAACAATTTTACCAGTCTGTCTGCCTAGGTGAAACGAAAGATCCAAATTGTGCAAATGTAAAAACACATTTTTTGCTATTCTTCTGATGGAATGTTGTGCAACTCTAGCAAAAACAGCGTTTCTCAGTTCATTAAAACCAGCGGATCCTGCTCTAGCTATACCATCTAAAGAAAATAGGTCAGAAGTAGAAGATAACCTACTTAAAATTTATAATTATTGTACCTACACCCTAGCAGTAAACTTGTAGCCACAGTGGCGACTGTCTGAGGGGCTGTATCCATGTTTAAAACTGATCCAGCATTAAGGTTCAAGTAGTCAATGGAATATTTAAAAATAAATGGAACACTCACATTCACTACTTTAGCAGCAATTAATAGGGATAAGGCTAGTTTTACCCTACAAAAAATAATATGCTTTGATTTTATTACAGAAGTCTGGTCATTCTAAATCCCTAGTCTGTTTTAAGTTGTTTTGTTATTAAACTAGTTAGTAACTAACAATTTTACATGCCTTTGTGTCTCTGTCTATCAACTAGTTACCTTCCGCTTTATATTAAGCATTAAAATACAGATCATGGCTTAGAAATTACAATGCTAATATACTACAAACCTATCCCGTATTTCTTTGTTGTCTGCTGGCCAAATATACTGCAACATCGCGTTGATCATTTGCATGCCTGTAATAGGTTTGCCCCCCTCTAATGGCAAGGCATCCCGAGATAATGCCGAGGCCCCCGGGTGAAAGCATCCTCTGACAGGTTGACTTCTTGGTATATTTTTAGGCGCTTTATTTAAGATTAACGAAAGAACGTTGGCGCTTGCTTTCGGTGATTTTTCTGGTTCTTTAGGTGCCGTAGAAGACTAAAACAAACAAGCAAAATAAATAGTTTACAAGTTCAGAGTTCAAGTTCAATGTAAATTGATGATAAATACACAAAAAGTACGTGATAGAACTACGACATATTACATAAGATTTACCTTTTGAAGCTGGTAGATTAATGGTGTGTGTAGACGAAGAGGTTTTTGTCTAAGGGTCAGTTGACTAAAGTTTCTGCTTGTAAAAGCCGATTTTAAAAGAATATTAAACAATTTTGTATTAACCTCTTTCAAATTTAAAACAGTCGCCATCGTGGTACAAATGAACTACTGTCATTTTAACAGAACTATTTTGTGTCAAACTCACTTCAAGGCCAAAATTACGTAAACGTTGCATAGGCAACCAATAATACACGTCGATATCTCCTGCGGTTCTCAAACTTTAAATTCATTTTGCGCCCCTTTTTTGTAAAAAGAAGATATTGCTTCATTTTTTTGTTTTCAAAAGCACCTATTTATAAAAAACGGTTATTTTTCAGTTTTTTTTTGTTGAAAATAATTTCAAAATGTACCTTATACATTTTGAAAAATTATATGATGACGTTAACACACAATTTTTTATTATATTTATGACGATATTTAGAAGAAATGACGCCATAGTACAATGATTGCAAAATATCTTTTTTCGCGCATCGCTCATTTTTCTTTAGCGATAACTAACTGATACCAAAACCTATTGCAGTCGGTCCAAATAATTTCTAAATATTCTGATAACGTATTATCTAACTAATAATATACAGCATTAATTAAATTTCATGATTCTGATGTCATATATCTTCTTGCAACACTTCCATCATTTCAAGATAGATTATTGTATGTTGGCGTACAATATTTTAATTAAAACTTTAATTACATATTATTGAAAGAATGTATCGATAAGTATGATTACAAAAGACTTTTTTTTAATATGGAACAGTCTTAAAACTTCTACCTATAGATTGTTAAAAGTGTTTTAATTTAAACAAGTAGGTAAATTTCTAAAACGAATACAGTTTTGGGTATACCCAGTTTTGCAACATGAAATCTAGCAAAAAATAATACAGAAAGTAGGTACCTCCTTGGCGAATGGCGATAGATATTTTTATATTTGTAAATAGTACTTTCTCTCAGGTGCAATCACCTAGCGAAGAAATTGTTGGTATAGGCCAGGTTTAATGCTGAATTAAATTTATTTTTATAATTGACAAACGGTAACGGTTTCTTTGATAAGGCGAAAATATGTAATATTCATGAACTATTGGTAGACAATGTGATTTGCATCGGAATGAATAACTGTATAATAGCTTATTTACTTACTTCATTGACCTTTGTAGCTCAGCAACAGTACGGATTCCAAGGAGTTTTTCTTTACAACACGACACCATTACCTTTCACAAATTAATAAACTTTAAGATAAAGGATTCTTGTTTTAAAAACTTTTTAAAACCATCCAAAGAGTAAACGGAAAAAACAATTGAAAACTGACCATAGACACAGTTAACGGTAACTCCTACAGAATATTAATTAGATCACTTAAACATTTGACATTAGAATCAAATCAGTGGAAAACGGAGGCTCAAGAAAAGAAATTGTGGAAAAGTGTACAAATTCATAGAATTTTAAGAAATTGGGAAACATTTATGCGAAATTAAATAGTTAAGTGATCTTTATCTGTAATTATGTGTGAATTAAATGAAGTATAAAGATGGATGGCCTTAAAACTAAGAGCAGGTGAGTGAACAAAAAAATCAAAAACAGTTATATTCTTTTATATAAATAGTATTTATTACGAACAACATTTCAGGCATGATACCAACGATCTTCTAACAATTAAAAAGCTATATTTACACGTATTTTGACACATTAATAACATTTACATGTTTTTTCTGCTGTTTTTTATTATCTAATAACTCTATACATCAGTTCAAAAAAAAACAATTAGAGATTAATATTTTATCTATATTTATATGTACACGCACACGGATAATGTGTGGATTAATGGTCAAATTTACAGTAAATTCTGACCGAGATCACATTTAATTTATGATTTTGCCATATTATTGGCGCCCAATTGATTTTTTTTTATAAATATTAAGAGGAAAACAAGAACTGTAGGTACTATAAAAAGTGACATTTTTTTTGGAAACTAAAAAGACTTTAAAAATGTATCTCACATTGTTATGTATCGTAAAAAAAGAAAAACAATCTATTTAAATATATAACCCTCCAGAAAAAAAAAATAATGGATACTGTAATGACATCAACAGTGTGAGATCATATTTTTTTGGTATCTAAGTTAATTTTCGAAACATTCTCAATAACAAAGCTTGTAACAATGGATAACAAATCAATTTAACTAAAGAAAAAACTTGCAGAAAGTTATAACAGGCAATTAATTAATAATAAATAAAGTAATTTACAATCAGTCTTGTACACTGTGATGCTTCATTTAATGATCTTGAAATTATCAAATCCATACTTTATATTTTGAAGTCATCAAGTGTCTCCATGTTCAAACAATATAAGTTTCATAAATAAAAAGGAAACAGGAACTAAATTCTTAAAGGACAGTCTTTCGATTCGGTTTGACTCAAATTGTAAGACTGTCCTCTTTACATAGGTAAAAATTAAATTAAAGAGAAAACAAAAAAAGTAAAGGTTCGAGAACAAAGTTGAACCAATCGAACTTAGAACTTATATGGCTTCAGCTTTTTTTTACTAAATTCTTACAATCTAAAAACACAGCACAAAATTTTGCACGTTGAATTCCGTTAGTGATGATCGGTTGTATTCTACCAAAATTGCACAAGAAACGTCATCAATAATTTGTTGATTTCTAAATCAACTTTATTTTAATTCCTTTTCAAAATTATCATACTCAGTTTTCTTTAAAAACTTCTCCTTAAACAATTCGATAAAAAATGATAAAAAGTTACTAATAAAAAATAAAGGGTTTAAAATCTCTTATTTAACATTTGATTGATAATCCACATTCACGTTTAAGCATTCTATCTAAAGAACTATTTGATTAGATTTATTTTTTATGTAAAAAAGTTGTTTAGTAGAATACAAACCAACATCATAAAATGAAGACCCCATTCTAATTTTATTAACATTTCATTAGTAACATGAAATATATCGTAGCCTTGGGAATATCTAAGAAAAGACTGTAATCTTTTGAAGGATATTTTTTAAAATCTCAAGAGGAACAATCTTATCCAGGTCGCTGAATGAAAAGACTAAGGAAGGACTCTAATACTATTTTCATATTCATCATTACAGACGGAATCGACTTCACATTTGATTTGATTTTAATTTTTGTGGATTTGTTCGGCTTGTCTGTGTCTATTTCCTGTTATTTCTTGTTTATTTTATAATTGGTTTTATAAAAAGTATACAAATTTGGAAAGAAACTATATTTCGAAAAAAATCTATAACAATGAACCAATCAATTATATGAAATTCATTTAGAATAAATTAATTTATATTTTTATTCTTGCATTTTCGCATTTATCTACTATACAGGGTGTCCCAAAAATAAGTGGAAGTATTTTAACTGGTAGTGTAGTATAGTTCGACCCCAGAAACACGCCTATGAGGTTTTTTGCGAAAAAAAATTGAAAAATTTATATTTTTCTTGACATTTTCCGGAAAATAAACTTTTGAGTGCCGCTTGTTCAGTTTCCGGAAATTTGTTTATAGTGCTTCGAGAGAATGCAATGTTGCCACCTCCTACGTTATCCACAATATGTATGTTTATAAATTCACGTTTTTAAATTTGTACAAAAAAATACTTAAATTAATTTTATTCTCTGTAGATTTTTTACAGTAAACCTCTGAAAAAACTGAAAAAAATAGGCAAATGTAAGCTAAGCCTGTAAAAATATTTTGATCATTCAATTAGAAATATCAATTATTTTGGTGTTTATTCATAAAAAAGAGAGTGTGAGATAGAAAAACAGAGGAGCTACCAGCTATTGATTTTATATTATATTGGTAACTTATTGATTTTTATGAGAAATATAATATTTTTTTACAAAATATATTGACTCAATGTCAAACAAAACCAGCAAATTATTGACGCTTCCATACTTTATATTTTAACACGAATTAAATAAAACTAAACACCACTGCTATAGCGGAATCTAAGTCAGCCATATTAAAGCCCCATCGCGATCACGAAAATTTTGTTTATATGCTCCTTCCTTGGTCTTTTTCTTCAATGATCCAGGATTAAACCCAACCTTTCAATCCCGAGGCAGATTAATAAAATCTAATGGTAAAAATACCATACTATTGAAAAAAAAACAGCGTCACGGTCACCTTTGAATTATAACCAACAACGATAATTTATTTCTGAATAACGACTTCTATAGACGTGTTTTAATCTGCCTCATCCAATATCTAACATCACTAAAGGCTTTCGTTTCTCTCTAATTCGACATTCGTTCATTCTACGCGCTAACTATTATTGCCCAAATCCTAATCATCGTACATACTGCACTCAGGAACCATTTGGTCGCAGGTTCTCGATACCCAATCTCTGTCCTCCTTGGCCAGCCAGGGATGCAGGAGGATGTCTTCCGAACTGAGCCGCTCAGAAGGCTCCCGCCTCAGAAGGGATCTGATCAGGCACCTCGCTCTGGGCGAGACGCACTCGGGAATGGTGAAGGAGCCGCTGGATATCCTGGCGAAGAGGTTGAGGTGGCCTTTGTCGTTGAAGGGGTATCTGAAACAAAAAGAGAAAGAAGTTTAGGATGATTGAACTAAATCAGAGCAAAGGGGAAAATAAAAATCCCTTGGCATCAGAAGTAAGCATTTTTGGACAAAAACTATCTTGTTAGATTTTAATAGTATCAAAATCTGACGAAAACATAATTACATGTATCTTTTTTGTAGACAAAATAGTTATGTTCCCCATATGTTGACAATAAAACCAAAACAATGCTCACTGTACCATGACGATCATATGGAACCCCGTTCATTCTACCATGAACCCATCAGTGAAATTTTCACACAACCCGTCCCTGTTTTGTTGCCATCCATTGGACATTTAAACCTTTTAAACTACCACGTAGGAAACGTCAAAAAACACGAACGGCAGATGGTATACGCGCAAGGTACGTATAGATTGTAATTAGATGGAAGAAGGTAGATAAAGGCATGGGGAAATATCCCAACCCCTTTTGTATTTAATGGGCTTTTTTCCTCCTTTCTTGTAGATGTGTATGGTTGCGTGGGGTTGGAGCCACCGTCCACCTGCGTCGGAATTTTTAATTGAACCCTTAAGTCAAGTCATATGGCGAGTTCGTTACGCTTGGGGTGGTTTGGGCCGACGAGTTCGTAGAATTGGAGATGGTATTTTCAATAAAAATGATAAGAAATTATTAGAAAACACTGAATTCAAGTTTTTGCTCTGTTTACATGGCAAAGTAAGTAGTTTTTCTCCTTTATAGTACAGTACATACAAATAATTCAAGAAGACAAATATTATACATTAGTCAAGTCTTTACATAAGTAAAGTGTGGCGAAAAAATTTATATTATTTAATGAAATACTATAACCAATTATTTCTATTAATTATCTGAGTATAAGCGATAAATAATATCGATAATATCCTCGATATTTAATAGCCGTTGCAAAAAAGTGAGTTACGAGGATATAAATAATAACTGTTTATATATTTATTATTAATTTATTTTTGTTTCTTAAATATTTTGAGTAAATGAAAATAGGTACTACTCTAACCATATGAACTCGTTGGCTTTCAATGTCTCGGTGATAGAAAAGGGGAAACGCATGTTTTTCATATCTATCTATTTTGTTTGGTACACCCTAGGGCGGAAATAGGTTTTTGCGACCGGATGTGCCATCTAACTTTATCGCTGCGTGCATTCTTACCTGAGTGCATGTTTGTTGTCATTTTAAGGAAGGTGGGAAGTACAAGAACAAGGGAAGGTAAAGCGCATTTTACACTACACGGTCTATTGCTTTGAATAAAAAGACTAAAGCTGGACACACACAGAAAGATCAAAACAGTTTTGGACAAACAGTTTAGTCTTTTTTTTGGATTCAATTCGCAATAATGTCAATTTTAATTTAAGTTCTGATATCCTTCTAGATTTCTTATCTCCAAACAAATCCAATTGTAGAATACATTTTAATGATAAATAACATAAAACAAACTCAGAAAAGCCTCAAAAATGATTTATAACCTCAAAATAAATCTAAATTCGAATTTTGTCGGAGAAAAAAGGTTGTGGATGGTTAAAATGAGCATAATGCGGTATTTTCACGGGAATTCAACGCGTGGGCTAAGTATTATAGGAATCTATTCAGCAGAAGTACCGGAAAAAAGGTTTAAACATTTTTATATCGTGGTTTTTTGATACATTGGGCCACTCTGTAGATGCACGTTAATAGGAGTTTGGAAAAAAGGATTTGTTCTACCATAATAATAATTCTTTCTGAATTATTGCTCACATATCACGTATGCCTCCAGAATCTCAGAAAAAAAGCTGTCATGAATTATGAAGATCCATTCGCAATCTGGTTATAAATCTCTTTGCAGGAATACCGCTCTCGGCCGATGGTAGCCCATTATTCATTAAGCCATAGAATAAATGTGTCCAACAGTCCGTCTTCTTACATTTCTAGACCACATATCAAAAGGAGCAATAACGTTTTTTTGTGCCTATCGATCAACGAGATTGAAATTTATGGCAGTCTTGTGCTATAGTGTATATGGTTTTATTTTCGAAATACCGTATGATCGAAAAAAACGGCGTCAAAGATGCCTGGGGAATGACAATTGATGATAAAACTTCAAAGATGAACTGTCAAATTAGATATTTTTAATTTAAAGTATATTTATTATTTAACATATAACAGTACGGGCCAAGTAGAGCTTGACCTCGCCAAATAATCATCGATTGTCATCCCCAGCCCTCTTTGACGCCGTTTTTTTTATCGTATGTTCCCCTAATTTCTAAGTTATGAATGAAACTTGAGATCATTTAATCTGAAGCTATCCGAAAAAATGACGGAAAACATAATAATAAAACAACTGTCATTGTCAAGTATCTTCCCAATGCACAGAATTTTTATTATTATTTATTACACTAAACGACATTTTCAACAGCATCATAATCAGTTCCTTTAAAGCATCCACTAAAACCTTCTACCTTGAGATTTACAAGTGGTTCAGTTTTTTTATCCTCGAAAATACTACAAAGAAATCCGTAAAATTTCTAATATTTTCAGGGGCACCTGCTCTCGAGATGGCCAATGTCCGATTAGAAACGGTAGATTTAAAAGAGAGAAAAAATATATACAGGCATTTCTCGATAAACCCTTAAAAATCCGCACCTGCCCTTATAAATCGCCTCTAGCAAGTCAACGAGTTTATAGGATTAGAAGTTATTATTCATTGGAAATGTTGGTATTTCTCCACAAAATTGTATTTATGATCTTGTAAAATTATAATATGATAATTTTGCAGAGTGAAACCACAGCTTAAGTAAAAACCAGCTCGGACAGTGTAGCGTGCCGCTTTGATCTTTTTACGCTCGGATTTGCGATTCGAAAGAGGGGGAACACTAGAGCGGCGAGCTCTCTCGCCAAAACCAATAGCCGCGTAAGCGCCAGTCAGCCCAGAGATGTATTCAAAAAAAATTTACACGTGACGTGAACACGACTACCGAGGTACGCGATGGGTACTGCTACGTCGAAGGCGACACGGTGCGTGCAAAAGGTCGTGGTGACCTAAAAAACGAATCGCTAGGTATTAGATCGGGGATTGAGTGAAATAAGAACACATAGAGGCGCATTAACATATAACTAGTATTGTTGGTAGTTGGTAGTTAATTAAAACTACCGTACTAAAATTATTACATTCTCCGTAAGAAATAATCCTCAACCCATTTGCTTATAGCTTTCTTTGAATAACCTGAACCTGAACTTGATTATACAGAGAATATATTTTTTTAAATTTGGAGCTGGGATACAATTTATTATAATAATAATAAATAATAATACTTTTTATCTCATCAAGTGGGGTCGTACACCTTCTCTAGCCTCGGTGTGATTCAGACTGGGTCTTTTTTTCTTCTTGTACAAGTCTTGCTAGAAGAAGATGAATCATCTCTCACGGCACCGCCTATTTGTCTACGAAGATTACGTGGGCACATCACGGAAGTGTTTATAATAGCCATACTGTGTCTCATCGAAGAGATCACTGACACTTCTTCGAATTATTAACAAAATAACAATTCATTATATTATATTATTATTATTAAAAGCGGCGTCAAAGACGGCTGGGGAATGACAATCGATGGTAATTTTGGCGAGGTCAATCTCTATGGGTTTTTTTTCGATAGTAAACAAAATAAGCAGTCTAGCATTTTTTGTACAGGAAGGTTTGTTTATTTCTATTATTTTTGTCTGAGGAATAATTATAGTTCAATTAATAGATTTAATAACAAAAAGAAAATTAAAAGTTACAACAAACGATTAGGTTTGCCAAATTGACCCCTACGTAAAGTGTGTACTTGTTCCGCTGCCAGACAACCAACAATTTTTAATACGAGAGAAAATTGGAAAAAAAATCGTGAAAGCTTGGCACATGCAGGTAGGTTATTAAGGCGCACCTGCCCGAATGAAGATAAAATAAAATTGCTGCGGCTGCCGGAGAGACGAAAAAAAGTTAAAAAAAACTCTTTACTCGAGCCCTTACGTGGTCTGCCGGTGGCTACCGTGATCGAGAGGGCAGCTGAAGGACCAAACATACGAGTTTATACGAATTACGACCAGACTTACACTGCCCGACAAAATACTGACAACACTCGAAAATTAACTGCGAACTGCAAAGGAAATCGCTTCATACCCAGCTGCGTAGTTTAATTTGACGTAGAGTTAAAAGAAAATTACATAAATAGAAGTTAAATGACATGATATGGAATATAATATTTACAGAAAATACAAACAGAACAAACAGTATACCAAGTACTTGAAGCCCTAGTAACAGAAGCCCTAGCAAAACAAGGTATTGACATGCCTTATATAGAAACTCTCGCCGATATACAGGGTGTTTCAAAACAAATGCGAAAAACTTCAGGGGGTGATTCCTTATTGAAAATAAAGGGTAGTTTGCTTTATAAACGTTGGGTCAAAAGTCAACCATTAGGGAGATATCGCGGTACAAAGATGGCGGAAAAATAATGTTTTTATTTTTTATCTTGAAAACGAAAAGAGATAGACTAATGAAATTTTACGGAAGCATTACTGTTATGAAAACACACTTTCTGGTAATTTTTTCACTTTTTTAAAATGAGTGGAAGGGGTTGAAATAAACTACCCCTATCATTCCTGTTAATGAAATTTAAAGAAAAATCTTATCAAACACATGCAAAAAAAATTAATTTTGATAGTTTAGTTTGTTTAGAAACTTTTTTATCTCTTGTGTTCTTTTGATAATAACGATAATAATAATCATCTAGATAATAACGTATTGCAGTAATGTCAAATAAAACAATATTAGGAACATCCTAAAAAGTAACAGCGGCCGACTAGATTTTTTCCTAAAAAAATTACAGCAGCCCACTAGATTTTTTATCAGAAAATGTTTTTTGTCCTGACATGTAATGCTTTACATTTTATTTTTTAATTTCAAATCGGTGAGTTTTATCAAAAAAATACAAGAGATAAAAAAGTTTCTAAACAAACTAAACTATCCAAATTATTTTTTTGCATGTGTTTGATAAGATTTTTCTTTAAATTTCGTTAACAAGAATGATAGGGGTAGTTTATTTCAACCCTTTCCACTCATTTTAAAAAAGTGAAAAAATTACCAGAAAGTGTGTTTTCATAACAGTAATGCTTCCATAAAATTTTATTAGTCTATCTCTTTTCGTTTTCAAGATAAAAAATAAAAACATTATTTTTCCGTCATCTTTGTACCGCAATATCTCCCTAATGGTTGACTTTTGACTCAACGTTTATGAAGCAAACTACCCTTTATTTTGAACAAGGAATCACCCCCTGAAGTTTTTTGCATTTGTTTTGAAACACCCTGTATACAAAGAAGCGAAAGCAAGAAAGTTTCATTGCAAAGAATGTTTGTCTTGCTCTAATGAAGATAATCTCACAACATCCAAGCACCATACAGAAAGCAATAACAGAATCAGAATTAAAAATCAAACTTTAGAATTAAAAAAACAAAACAGGAACTGGAATAGAAGATTAGATTATTCAGGGTCAAGGCGTTCGACAGTCTTGACAACAAGTTCGACAATTAACAACAATTGGAATGTAACATCTCGTCAGCTAGCCTAGAATCGACTTGTTTGTTTTGGGCAGTGTATATTTCCTGTAGCAGGTGCCTTGCACTTTAGAATTTTTGACAAGCGGACAAAAAAGGCTTGTTTCAGTATTAATCAAAGGCGAAATCAACCAAACAGACTAATGGCCTCGCATTTTGGACCACACTCTTCACGATATTTGGGGTGTATTTTTGTTTTGTATACCTGTTCGAAGTCGAGGAGTTGTTTTTTTGTTAATATGATCCAACGAGTTCGTATGTGGGAACTCGTGAGGTTTCACACTGAATACTATATTGTTACGTCGTGGTTTGGTTAATTTTGAAATGGAAGATTAAATAATTAATTCTAAATCAAACAAAGACGGTCCACTAAGTCCATTGGAAAAACAGATAGAGATATAGGCATAGCAAAGACTTAGGTACGTTAATGGGAAAATGGAGACAACTATGAAGCAAGAAAAACCTTATAGATCTGTCGCAGAAAAATCTTTGATTTTTCTCATTCGTAAGTCCTGAGAAATTCTTTCGAGTGTCTTAGATCGTTTGAGGATTCCCATTTCCAGTCGTGAAAAACGATTTTGCGAAAAACTGATTCTTAATATTGCTATCACTCGTGGCGGAACATCTGGTCGCGTTCCCATGACAACGGCATCCGCGAGAAATTCCGAGCAAACTAAATCAATTTCTACGCTCGACGAGAACAAAGATATTTCAAGAGCTTGGCGTATTTCCTATAAAGCGGACATCGCGCGAGTGGCGATCACATTTCAAATCGGTCCTTCTTTGTTCTTTGCCGCCGAACCGGGTGGTCAATTGGACGGTGACGATGATAGAGAGTCTTAGCTATAACTTAGAAATTAACGATGATTTCAGTTCGTCTCTTACGATTTGACATCTCATTCTTTACTGTTGGTTATGAAAAACTAATGTATACTATAATATATTTTATATATTTACTTACTTTCGAAATAAGTACTATAAGGTACTAAAATTTCAAGGAGAGTATTACGAAACTTTATGTCTTATCTAGAAAATAATGTAATATCGTAACTGTAAACAATAAAATTTGTTTCATAATTTTTAAAAATAATCTTATAATCTTTATAATAGATTTCGTAAGTATCTGGAAGATTATCTGGCCATCTTAAAGTGTCTAGATAATAAATAAATCAAACGAATTATCGAAAAAAAAAATTATTGATTCTCCATAATTCTATTGAATTCCTAGTATTAATTAGCTGCACTCTATTTTGTTTACGTGGATTCCGAATCGTTCGTTGTCTTCCACCTTATATACAGGATGAGTCTTAAACAAGTGCAAATGTTTTTATGGGTATATTTCGATCCCAGAAATACCCCAGAGTTTTTTTTTCGCGAAAAATTGTGGATTTTTTTTTATTTTTAGTTAAAAAACGTAACATCTTCATAATATGGCAACATCGGTAGAAGATTAAATTTACGAGAAAGAAGACCCAGAAAAAAAATCTAGCGGTTCTCAAAATGCAAAAAATCACTTTTTTTTTGGAAATTTTCAAAGTAAAATATCTCGGTTATTTTGGACTTCTTTGAAAAACGGTAAAGATAAAATAATATGTTTCTTTTATCGAGATCTACCAGCCCTGAAAATATTTGCACTTATTTAGACTCACCCTGTATAAGAGACATCATCCGACCTCTAACCAGAGTGAATAAGTTTCCATCGATTTTAAATTTTACTCTGTCCTGTCCAAACACTCACCTCATCTAACGTCGCTTAACTTTAATGTAATAAAAGAGAGTTTAAATAGCTTCTAACCTACCTTCCAACGATCATGGTGTACAGGATGACTCCCAGGGACCACATATCGGCACCTTTCCCCGAATAGTGTCCAGTTTTTAAAATTTCCGGACTAACGTACGCTGGACAGCCTCTTTTGTCGTGCAGCCAATCTGATTCGGGTTCTTCCAGTACTACCGCGTCCTCAAACGATTCCAGCTTCAATTCCGTTCTGAAACAAAGAAGAAACAGTTAATATTATGTTTAACTTATATCAAAAAGTCTCTTTTTATACACACACCGGAAAAATCTAGGGATATCATTTTATTAAAGTTAAAAATAAATGTTTTCAATAAACAACCACATATTTGTAGGCTTGTTTTTCTTGTGTGTTTCGTGGACAATTTTCGGAATCGGGCACTAGTTAGGTGATAGTTTGCACATAGCACCCACTTATGGCCTCTAAAATTGTACTGGCGCCTGACCGGCACAGTTATTAGAGATATCGGAAAACCGAATAGCGTCATCCAGTATTTACGTACCTTATCATAGTTACGATATGCGCGGAAGTCAATTTTAACACACTAATAACGTTTTACCGCCTGACGTAATTTGCGGATCAATTACTCTGGCCTCTTTCTAAATAACCTCTGATAACGTTTAAAAAATGTGGGCATGTGCGGGTATTTGACAACCGGAGCCGGCCGGCGAGATCTTTAATTTTTAAGTTATGTTTGAATTGTTTTGAATTATTGCTTTAGTTTTATTGTTAATTTGATATTTAAGTAGCTGGGATTAGTTTAATTAAATAAATATGGCCCAAAATATATCGATTCCCTCTTCCAATACTAAAGAACCTATAAAGAGTCTTAGGTTTACAGCAGATGACGACTTAGCCCTTCTAAGAGAATTTGTTGTATTTGCCCCTAAACCCACTGGCAGACGTTGAATGTAAGCACTGAAATAAGCACCCAGCCCTTTAGTTTTAAAATACCTATTAAACAAAACAATTTCAAGTTTCAAATTCAAAAGTTAGGTTAAGTTCTTGGACTGCCCGATCAGAATTCTTTTCGATAACTATAAATGAAGAGAGTTAATACCACTTCACGTAAAAGAGTAACACCTGGCCTTATTAACGTCCATGTACGCTATTCGGTTTAGCGATATCTCTATTACGCTGTAAAATTCTTACTTAAAAGATAATGTTTAGTGAAAGTACTTTTTTATTTATAAACATTTATTTAATTCTGTTTTTAGTATTTGTTCTTATAGCGGCAACATAGATACATTATCTGTGAAAATTTCAACTGTCTATCTATAACGGTTCATATAAGATATACCTTTATGACAGACGGACAGACGTACGGACAGCGAAGTCTTAGTAATAGGGTTCCCTTTTTACCCTTTGGGTACGGAACCCTAAAAATAAAGAAGAGCCAAGTAAATGACCTCTAGGACTTAACCTCGCCAAAACTGTCATCGATTGTTACTCCCTAGCCGTCTATGATGCCGTTTTTTTTTCGATCGTATACATAGGTTCAAAAAAAAAATAAAAAAAAATCTATCTAAGAGAAAGAAAAATAGACTGGCACGAGCCATTTTTTTTAATACAAAAGTATTTCAATCAGCGTTGAAAGGTCAATATAATCATTATATCGACCCACGTCACACAGTGCCGAATATATCATGCAACGATCCATTGTATTCCAGTTTGCACAACGCGCACATACATAAAAGTATTTTTTTCGTCCCGATTCATTTCAGAAGCGACCCGCTGTGTGCCATTGGGCAATTTGGGATGTGGGCATTATATGTGTATTTGTCGCAACCTGATAATTATGCTCGAGAAATTGGGCAACTGTTGCACGGTTTCGGATATAGGTACGTCGATGGTGAAATTATTTGGTTATTTCGAATTCAGACAGAGACCAGTGTGATGAGAAAATGAAATAATATACCGGATAACCTGCCACCCCTTTGTTATTGCTTAAAAAATTAGATAAAATAAATTTCTTACTGAATTAATAGAAGCTTATATCGTCTTGGTTAAGCTCACCATAAATGGAGTTATAACTCCCTTGCGACATTAATAATAATGATAATAATGATAAGATCCCATAATCCCCTCTACCTTTTATAGGTAACAACCATAAAATACAATAGAGATTTTGAGTAATAATATAAAATGAAAACGGACACTCATCTAACTATTCTAATAATTTATTTACATCATTAATGTCACATATAATATTAGAACAGTTTCAGCAGCATCTCCTGCTACAATATTTTTCTGTCCCAACCACTAAAGTGTTTTTAATATTCCTTTTGTAAATGGTTTTACTGTTTGATTTGATTTCTTTCATCAGATTTGATTTTCTTCAAATCTAATCAATATTTATATTTTTATAGCTTACAAAACATTCACGATTACTTGTTGTCTTGTTTTTCATGTTTTCTTTAAATGTTCCTGACTTTAAGAAACAATGGCTGCATGATAAGTTTGAATGGTCCTAAAAAGTCATTCTATTTAGTTAATGAAATTTATTTACCTTTACTGCCTACCTCCATTGCGTTTGGATATAAATACAAAATATTATTACAAATTTTAGAAATTAAATGAGAATTTCACTCGAACTTCCGATATTTGCTTGATTTCTGTCACATAAATGACATTGATTGACAAACAAAACCAGAAAAACCAGCCTTCTCGCGCTGGTTAGTTTGGTGACAGTTATAACCGAATTGTTCAGCAACCGTGTTCCGTAATAAGAAAACTTTCAGGAAACCGATAGAAACGGAACATAAAACCATAACCAAGGTAAGCAAAGGAATACACCCTTAATAAAATAGTAACCTGGCGACAAACAGAGTTCCTACCAGTAGCGTTAATACAAATATACTGGAAGATTAATAAATGCAACATTTGTGTCGTTTTGAAATGGGACAAAATATACTAAAGCCTAATTTACACGGGTCAAGTAGCTAAAGCAAGTTACTAAATTAATTACTAAATATAGTGACCTGCATGGTGTAAACAACCCGATTTAGTACTTGTAAAAGATTTAGAAAACTGTTTAGTTAACTGAATAGAAACGATTCCTATTTACTTGCGTAAGTGGTCATCCCCACCTCTGTTTTTGGGCAACTAAAGCGCGTTCAAACCATCTCCTTAAAGGTTGTCGTCCACTAGACCGCTGCGCGGCGCGGCGCTGGGAAGAGAATTTTTTCCGGCTGCGAAGGGACTGCGCCCACTATAGCGCGCTTTTGAAACGCGGCAACGCTATTTAGTTATAGTTGAAGTGTTTTTTACTTACTGTAGTTTAGTTTTTAAAGCAATGAGTTCAAGTACGGACGAAAGCGTATTTTTTGTGCTCTTCTAACAGAGGAAGAGGGGGTGAGGAAAAGTTTGGACTCATACGATTAACAAAAAAAAGAAAGCAGTTTGGAGAACTTTACCATCTTTTTCCAGATTTAATAAAAGACAAAATCATTTTTTTCAGTATTACAAAATATAAAGGAAACATTTTACGCACTCCTCAATTGAGGGTTTTAGAAGAAAAAACACCGGGTATATCTACTCATCATATTTTTTCAGAAGAGACAAATTACTAATATTTTTGATAATTCTTATTTATTCTGATGTGTATATTAGTTATGTGGTCAAAAAACCTGATCTTTTTATATATTTAGGTAATTAGAATTTAAAATTGGAGATTGTCACTTTTGTTAAAAAGTGGAGATTGCCGGTTTTGCCTCTACACCCCTCAATTATATTAAATCTTTGATAGAAAGGCATTTCGTCCATCTGTCTCTAGTGAGGGAAGACTAAAAAAATATCATATTCCTTTATGAAAATCGATTTGCCTAATTTACCTTTAAAAATACAATTCTGCCATTGATACATATCACTAATTCCTAGTCAAAAGCCAACTGAAAAGACTCGAATGCAAAATTATTTCCCTTGTGAGTACGCACACTGCAACGCGCCGAAACGCGGGAGACGGAAAAAAGTTGCTAGAGAAGTCTTCCGACTTCTTGACGGAAATACCACGGCGCGCTTCTGCGCTGCGCGCTCTAATGTGCGTTGCTCCATTTAAATACATGGCAAGCAGACAAAAGAAATTTCCACATGGCGCCGCGCCGCGTCGCGCCGCGGTGTAGTGGGCGACAACCTTAAATCTTTTAGCCATGAGTTCTGGCGTTTTCCTCTGATCTTTTCCCTTGCACTTTGCCCTCTATTATCTATTATGAGGCGCAGTATTTTGTATCTACCACCTCTCATCACATGACTCAGGTATTGCTTTTTTGTTTCCTTGATGGTGTATGAGATATGAGAACTGTTCTTTCTTTTTGTCATTGCCTTAGCGGAATGTCTTCAAAATTGGTTTAGACATGTCATACAAAGTATTGTAAAAAGTATAAAGTCGGCCGTGGACATGTATTTACACGTCTAAGCTTAAAACTCTTCATCCGAATAATCCTATAATGGACGGACGATACATTTAACGGGACTTTTCGCAAACCGTTTCACAGATGGGCATTTCGCTTCAAATCCATCTACCATCTGTTTTAAGAGCGACGAAAGCACACTTCTAACTGTTTTTACGCTATCCATGACGTTTTTGCTCTTATTTGTTTTATCCTCTACGACGGCACGCCTTTTGGCTGTTTTGCGCACCTCGAAATACGGAAAGCAGGTAGGTAGATGTGTAAAAATCTCGACGGTGAAGAGCTAGTTTTACCTTTGGAGTTAAATGTTTTGGGTGCTCTAAGAGCAACGAGTTCGTAGAGTAGAAGTCGTTTTAGAAGTGTATCTCGTTTGAAGTGTTTTCAACATTTCAAACTAAAACTCAATTTAATAGCTGTTAGTAGGTAAGGAGGTTCACTTTTTTTTATTTTTCACAATTTTTTTATTTTGTAGATTTCTCATCCAAATGCAAAAACTCCAAACTTTTCTCATGAAATAAACCGCCACAAAGGTACCGTATGATCGAAAAAAAAACGGCGTCCAGTTGGCTGGGAAATGAGCATCAATGACATTTCCCATATAAATTTACATATAAAATGACAGCGATCTTCATTCCATAGCCATCGCTGACACCGTTTTTTCTCGATCATACGGTATAAACAACATTATTTAGATGCCAATGGAACCATCAACCCCCTGCATTAATTGCTTGCCCTTCAAAGAAGCAAAAAAGTAAAAATTATCGTACGATCTCTATCACTCCG